TATGCCTTCCCATGGCTTTCCTGTGGAATCTGCCAAACCTGATTCAGCCTTTTTTTATGTGAGTTCTCAAGTATGTTCCATTTTATCTCTTATAATCCTGTTCCTTCCTTATTACATGACATCAGGATTCATGCTGAGCAATTTGTTTCTCAGTTTTGAGCTGATTCTAGCATGCCTCACCTTCCATGGGCCACAGATTAGTTTAACTTAGCTTACCATCCAGCAGATTACCCCTTTCTTGATTCTCAACAGTTAGAATCACTACTGGCAGTTTTTTTTTGGGGGGGGGGGCCTGATCATAAGAGCCATGTCTGTTTATCCAAGGCCTAGTTTTCCCACCTTCAAGTTACCCTTATGACTCTGCTATGGTCCTCATCTACCATATATTTCTTTTCTGAGGCACTGCACTGTTCTCCTGTGGGATTTTCAGGGGATGCCTTATCTCTCATTACCGCTACATTAGAGGGATCATCCTCCTTGGTTTTTTTGCTGTTTGGATCTTCTGGGTTCCAGGTTCATTTACCATCAACTTATCTTTGGAACTTGTGGATGGCTCCATTTCTCCAACAAATCTTTTTTGGGGATATTCCTAAAAACTTTGGAATTATGTGTGGAATCTGTCTTTGGTTGCTCATTTGTCTCAACCTGAACCCTTGAAAACCCCCTGTTCCACGTCTGACACCGTCCTGTCTTTATCTGTTCGTAACACTAGGAGTTCCACCATTTGTTATTTTCACCGATGCAGGTCTCATCATTGCCAGCAGTACCAGTGACTATCCTGTGGGTTCTGTTCCGGTGGGATCTCGTTTGACTGATTTTGTTCAAATATGGCAGGACTTCATTACCAACCATTGGAACTTCAGGTCTTGTCACAAGGACTTGTCATACAGTTCCTTTCCCCAATCCTGTTGTCTCTTATACCCATATCCTCTCTGTTACCTCAGGATCCTACTGCCAGTCAACATCTGTCCAAGGCAGTTCAAACTCATATATCACAGAGAGCTATTGAGCTTGTCAGCCATCCTTCCCCAAGCTGTTTGTGGTCCCAAGACAACCGAGGACTAGTTTCCTGGATCGACCTGTCCTACCACAATCAATTTCTGGATCTTCCCCATTTTACAATGGAGTCTTTTCTCACACTATAGTGGACTTTTTCTCTCTCTCGGTTTGTGGCGTACCAAGATAGACATCTTGAATGCCTATCAACACATTCCTGTTTCTCATCGGTGCAGATGCTATTTTTAGTTTGTCCATCACAGGGTTGTGTACCAGATTTGTGCCTTGCTTTTTGGGTTTGCTTCGGTTCCATATGTCTTTTTTCAGGTGTTCAAAGCTTTTGCCCAATCTATACATGCTCGGGAGTTCCATTTTTCTTTTAGCTCATTCTGAAATGGATATTCCTGTCACACTCGTCTCATTCTTTCAGAAGCTGCTTGAGTGGGTTGGATTATGAAGTTGGAGAAGACTTTCCTGTCCTCTACCCAATATCTTGTCCACATGCGGGCCTTTTTCAACTCCCACCTTAGTTGGGCCCAACCTTCTCCTCCTCGACTTCATTTGATGGAACTTTCAGTTCTCCACACCCTTGCTGCTCTCTCTCTTACTGCTCACTTTTGGGGATGTAGGTTTCTATGGAAGCTCTTATCCCCTTGGGTTGGGCACATATGCAGTCTCTTCAGTGGACTCTGCACGACCAATGGAATCTCACTTGGGATCCCTTGGATTCTCCCATTTCCCTTCCTCTTTCCCTCTTAGATGATCAGTGTTGGTGGTTAAACAAGGTCCACACATTGTTAGATGTACTGCTTCCTCCTCCCTTCCATTTTTTCCCAGTACCGTCTTGTACTTACCTCCCCCTATCCTCTCCATGCTGTTACATTCCTTTTAGATTCATAGACCTCCTTGTTGAGTGGGCCTTCTAGATTGGGATGTCAATATGGTTCTTCGCTGCCTTGCTTTACCTCTGTTTGAATCTTTGTCCTACTGTTCTTTGTTTCACTTCTACCTTAAGATGTAGTTCATACTCCTATTATCTTATGGATGTGATAACGGTCTGATATATTCACCATCAATGTCTCCTGCACTCTGTACCATTCCACATATGTTCTCCTTTATCCAGATTGATCTTTCCTTTCCAGCAGCTCATGAAGGTAATTTTTCCTTCTCAACAATTTCTCTTTCTTCCATCTCCCACCTTTATTCCAGGTCTGATCCAGATAGGCTTCTATGTCCTGTACATGCTCTTTGTTGTTACATTTCCCACATGGCTTCCTTTCATGATTCCTGTTCTCATCTTTCCATCCCCTGGTAACATTTCCCTGTTTGTGACCTTTCTCCTTCAACTCTTACCAATTGAGTTTGTCTTTTGATTCAATTGGTTTATTCCTTCTCATCTTCTTCTTCCTGAAATCTGTTCCAGGTTTCATCACATCAGATCGAGCACCTTATTTTTTCCCTGGATCTCACCTCTATTATACATTGGAGGAAATTCTTCAGGTTGGAATGGGGACTACTACTCATACATTCATCTCCCACTATTTACATTGGGTGGCTGTTTCTTCATCTTAATGATAATGTCTCCTGCCTGTCGCCATCCTTCAAACTTCGGTAAGACTGTGACTGGGCAAGTTATCTTTTTTATATACATTTTACTTCCTTTCAGGGGCATGTCCTTTTTTTTTTGCTGCTCAGATCCCACTCTGTTGGGAGTGTTGCATGTCCAGGTATACTTAATACATTACAAATCTGCACTGTATGGTCATGCTGCTATCATAAAATATATTCCCATGCATATAACACACACTGTTGAGATGGGGTATTTTCCTTACTCCATATTTGCTTCATAATTATGACCCTTCCAGGCTCTACTAACCAATGGACTTGCATGAGTAAAGCAGAAGGGGAAAGTTGCCCATCCCTGCCTTCCCTTAAGTTGAATAAATCAGGGTGGTCTGGTTTTCAAAATATGGTTTTTGTGGTCACCCGTTGCACTGCTTCCAGTGTTGGCATTCTTCTGGACTCTCCATCACACTTTATGCTCCCTTTTTCTTCAAATGGAGTATGGGAGTTCTTGCTACTTTCCAGTTCCAAGCCACTGGGGTGGAGGACCATGGAGGTATCCTCCTGAATGTGATTTTATGCAAATAACTAAATATACAACTACATTCAGCTGAGAGTAGAGTGGTTGTGTTCTGCTGGTGTATATGTTACTGATCCTCCATTCATGTGCACTATTTCTGTCTGGATGGTGAGGTTTTTATCATATATCAATCTCCTTGTTATAACCTTTGATATCTCACTTTAACAGGATGTAACTCACATTTTACATTTAAAGCCACTCTTCCCCTTCTCTTTAGCACTCTAACCCTATTAAATAACCTATAACCATGTATTTCCAAGAAATTTTTGTCATCAAAATCGTCTACATTTAACCATGTTTCAGTTATTCTCATTACATCAAAATCATCTATTTTATTTCTTCTACTCCTAGCATTACTATAGTAGCAATTAAGCCTACCCTTATAACTGCTTCTGTGCTCATTTCCTATGCTAAACTTTTCTCTGCCTCTTCTTTTTTGCATTTAGTTTATCCTGACCCTCACCACTGTCTAGTACTAGTTTAAAACTTCTCTCACAGCTGAGTTAATATCCATTGGAAACAAACCAGCCCCTACCCTATTTAAATGTAAACCATCCATTTCACAAAGTTCCCTTCTCCCATTAAACTGATCCCACAAGTCCAACAAGCCTATCTGCTCATCCTTACATATTAATCTAAGACTAGTGTTCAGCCCTAATGTGACATACTTATAATTCATCCCCACAATTAATTCTTTGCAGTAACAATTAAGTTCTGGCTCTTTTCTTTAAATGCCTCTATCAATCCCGTGTACTTATCAATTAGCTCCTCTGACCTACCTTTCTCTACAACATTAACCCCTATAGGCACAACAAAAACTGTATCTTTACTAACCCCCTTTATTATATCTCTTGCTCTGTCAGTTATACCTTCCACCCATGCCCTTGGGTAGCATATCTAATTCTTTTCTCCCCACTGTCTATCCTATCCACATGCCTTGTCAAAGAATCACCTATAACTATAACCTTATTAAGTTTATCATTCACATACTTCTCTGTCCTTTTTGTTTTCCTTCTCTCCAATAGTTCATCATCTGCACAAGACAAAGGCTGAAATCTGTTGCTCAATAGAATATGCTCATTACAATTAAATCAACTACTTTTAGCCTTAATAGTACGGTTTCTATCTTCCTGAAAATCATTATTAGCTGATATATCCCTTGCATGTAAAAGCTTAAACTCCTCTTGAAATCCTGCTGCCATTTCCCACAGTTTACATTTCTTTTTATCTATTAAAGCTTCAATAGTAATATTGTAATATAAATATAGTACAATACTATCATTGTTAATATTAATTGAATTTAACACTTAAAATAGGGACTGAACTTTACACATTGCTTTTGTTAGGGTTAATTCCAAAGGATGATATAACTCAAAAACACCCAATCTCAAAAGAATCTCACCATTTTATTACTGTAGAAGAAATTGGTAAAGAAAACAGAACTAAAAAAGAATCTCAAACAATTTTTAGAAATGTAAGATTTTGAGCTGAAAAACAATAAATAGTTACATTATTTTTAGTGGTGTGTTTGGTACATGTATGTTTGTACTTTTTCTTTTTCTTTTTGCTGCTATTTTTTGGAAAACTTTGTATCTTTAGTAGATTTTTGAGTTACTTCAGGTAACCAAAGTATGAATTATAGAATATGAACTTTTACTCACAAAAAGTTGCAAGGATCAGATAAAAGTTTTACGATAATTGTATTTTACCAGTTAACACTCTCCTCTTTCATTCAACATAATAGTAGATCAAGTTTAATTTATCAACCAAATCAGAACCTCCCACTTTTTATATTTGGATTCAATTGTATTATGTGTATGTAGTATGCCATTATTGAGATTATTTATTGTTATTGTTTCAGGAAATTAAAGAGAGAAATTGAGTTAGTAAGAAGTGGTCATGCTGATGACAAACTTGAGGAAATGTGGAATCAGATTCAAGAGTATGTATTCAAACTATTTCAGAATAGCTTCATTGTAATTGACTGTATTTACCTAAAGGTGTTGTGTATATGTTGAAACCTTTTTATAAAATAATAAGCCAATATTTAGAATCCACTTTCATTAAGGACTGGTGGGTGATTTATTAATATTTGAAGTGAGTTTTATTAGATAAAGAGATTGTTTTGGATTCATTTAATTCATACTGCATTGGAGAACCTTTTATTCAAATTTAACTTGTATCAAGTTATTAAGGGAGCATGTATAAGACCACCAACTTAACCTTATAATGACAGCTTTAAACAGTAGAAGCTAATTGAAGACAAGCCTATAACTGTTACCTGAAATGTTCAAACAAGAACACTAAAATAGTGAATAGAGCTGAGTGAAGAGTTGAATTTGCTACTTGATTAACTGTTGAGCTCATTTACTGATTACACTTTCATGAGATTAATCTTTTCCTGTTTTCAGCTAGTTCTTTTACTAATATATTTTAAAACTACACTTTGTTTAATACAGGGGTCAAAATATCTGGGTTTGTATGGCAATTTATGAATCAAAACAACCTCAGTTGCAAATCACTTTTGTCTTTGCTTGGTATAACGTGCAAATCATTCCTTTTTCTTGTATGCCTTTGAGATCTCCAACAATACAGTGTAATGTTGTCAGTTTGATATACCAAAGATGATGTTAATTTCTCAGAAATTCCCAACAAATGTCACATACAGTATTTTCACACTTTGTTATGCACATATTGCATACATATACACTTTGTACTAGTTTGTTCATGAAGTGCACCCGGTCAGTGTCCATAACCTAGCAAATTAGACTAGACTATGTGCGTACAGAACATGCTCTGCACATTTAGCATTGAGATCTGTCTCAACACGGACTTGGTCCCAAGAACTGACCACATGAACATTTTTACTTTTATATAATTATAATATTATAACTTTTAATCCAGTAATGTGTATCTTCACAAAATTTGGCAGACTTTTAGTAAATATTACAAGTTGTTTGTACACAAAAAATCAGTTTTTTAATGAGGTAGTTTTATTATAGATTTGTTCGTGAACATATCAAGTCCTTTTTTGACAAGTACAAGTGTAAAACTTATGTTCATGTTGAAGATTGAAAATAATTCTCTTTGTCTCAAAAATATTAAATGTTATTTACATAATTTCTAAAACCTACTAAATACATTTCAAATGTTTTCTTTTTCAGTAAAACTTTATATTTGTTAGTTTCTGTGTGCTAACTCTATACAAGGTTGGTCAATTTGACTGACCTTGTAATGACCAAAAAAGAAGAATCAGAAATAAATTTAAATTATCCTTTTTTTCTTTCCAAAGTAGCTTTAAAGACATTGGACAGTTAAAAATTGCAATATGTTTATATTTATATTTAAGTGCTGGAGAAATAAAAGTTAAAGATTATGCCCAAATCATTTTTTGATAATTAGCCCCAGCTATGGCCCTGCAAGCTCCCTAAGTTAGTGCAACAGCCAGCCTTTGTGATTGCTTGGTTGAAAAATTGGGTCAGAGGCAAATGACGTCACTTAAGGTAAACAAGGCCAGTCGCAGTCGGCTTCCTCTGTGTGTGCCATTTTGTGTAAACAATTGTAGGTTTGTTTATGTGAAAACAATTCGTTTTTTTCTGGACAACTTTCATTTGACAGATGTCATGAATACAGTTATTCGTGAGAAAGTTGTTTGAGGACATAAACAACTATTGTTTTTCGCTGTGTTGTTTATAGATGTAGGAATATTCCCAAGGAAAAAGAGGTATCTCTGCATGAGATTCCACTTAAGTCAGACAGAAAACAGCACAAGCCTAGACAAACTTTATATAAAAAACTTGTGATAAATGGAGTCCAACCAAAAGCTGTCATGTAAGTAGTGAACACTTTTTGGAATCAGACTTCGAAAATAAACTACAGTTTGATATGGGATTTGCAAAAAAACTGGTGCTAACGAAAGATGCAGTACCCTTATTATTGCTTATTTATTAATTGATTAGTTTCAGTGTTCCTCAAACTATTTTATTATCATTGTATGTGAATAAACAATGAATAAAGTATATAATAAGTATGGTTAAGTGTCATTAACAGTTGAGAACAAAAATATAAAAAAAGAAGGCCCAAGTAAATACTTTATTTCATTTGTATTCTTTAATTATTATTATAAAAATAACTAAAATGTAAAAATTAGAACCTTTTTTTTAGGTTAAATAAGGTTAGAGTAGGTAAAATGAAGTATGATTGCATGCATTATGAAATTCAATAGGGTAACGTGAGCTTTACATTAGCCAAGTGATTAACAAATTTTATGGCTGGAATATTAGTTTAGACAGTTCATACAGCAATAAAACAATACAATTTAAATATAAACAGTTGTATACTGTTATGGAATTTAAGCTATTTAGGTTAAACAAATGTAGTTTCATGTTATAATTTGAAGTCATTCTAGAAAGGAAAAAAGGGTAATTTAGATTTATTTTGAATTTTATTTTTGTGGTTACGAGGTTAGTGAATTTGACCAATCTTGTATAAAGTAGGGAAATAAATAGATGAAATATTAAGTTTTACTAAAGCAAAACATTTGAAATAAATTTTTTGAAGATTTTAGAGAATACATAAATGAAAGTTGAGATTTTTCAGATGAAGAATCGTAGCATGAAAATCACTTTGCACTTGGACCATTTAACTCTTCGAATCAATATATTTATGGAAAATTTTTTAGCAAAAATATTTCATTGAAAATTCTGATTTTATTTCTCTACAAATTACACTTAATGATTACTGAAAACTTGCAAAATGTCATGTAGATACACGAAGCATATTAGAAGTCATAGTATGAAAATTATTAAGGTCAATTCGGGGTCAATTTTTAGGTTGAATCAACAGAAACCATAGCGAGAGAGTTAAGTATTATATTTCTTGTTTTCCATGTGTTTTCTTTATTATTATTATTATAAACTTATTAGATTAGGTTAGATTATGTAAGATGAAGGGAAAACAACAATAAAAAGATTTTTCATGAGGTATACTTGCCAGCAGTTTATGCATCACATAATTCGATATGGTAACATGAGTTACATGTTCACAAAGTGATTTACAATTTGTGTGATGTGATTATTAGATAGATGTGTTTCAAAGAGCAATAAAATAATAAATTTAATTAGAAACAAATGTATACTGTTAAGAGCTTTAAGTTATATAGGATAAACAACTGTAATTTCTTGTTATAATTTGCAATAATTGTAACAAGAAAAAGGGTAATTAACATTTATTTTGTGTTTTTTATGGTGTTACAAGGTCCAGCCAAATTGACCAAATGTGTATAGAGTATAGAGTGAATAGAGTAGAGAAAATAACAAACAAAATATAAGGTTTTAAAGATTATTCAAAGGAAACTTGATCTTCTCCAGATCAATTAAAGTATTTTTATTTTAACATAGAACTCACTTTTCACTCAAAGCAGTCAACACATTGACTCCGCTTATTTACGGAGAAATATTCAGTAAAAATACTTCATTAAAAATTCAGATTTTTTTTCATGTACAAAACACTTGTAATCTTTACTGAAAGTTTATGAAATTTCATGAAGATACACAAAACATATTAAAAGAAGTTATAGTATGGAAACTCTAAAGGTCAATTTCAGTTCACTAATTTAGCCAACTCGATTGAGCCCATAGTGAGAGAGTTAATTGGTTATTGGAATAATCGAAAAATGATTATAATCAGAAACAATAGTTTTGATTAGTTGGTTATTTTCGTGATAGTCAATTGAATTATAATTTCATTTAATTGATTTATTCATAATTTTGAATAATCTATTTGTTTGTGTGACACTAATCAGTCTAATTGCTGTTTGTACGTAGTTCCTTAAATCAACCATCTTTTATGTTGAATATGATAAATATAGGAATAATAATTAATAAATAAGAATTTGAGCCTTCAGAATATTTTGACATCATCTACCACACTCGCTAAACCTAAGTAAATTTATCTGATGCCTTCTCATTGAAAATTTCTAAAGCTTTCAAACTGATACTTTTTATCACAAGCACTCATGAATGAAAAGAACTTTTATTAAAGAAACTAACAACATCTCCTAGCTATGTCCTTTGTTAAGCCTTCAGAACATCCAATTATATGCATTTGGTCAATGCTACAAGAGCTCTGACTAGAAATTTTCCCACTAAACTACAAATTACTGCTCACACTACTTTTCACTTGCCACCAGCCTTGAGGCTTCCACCTAGCATCATGTGTTTACATGCGGTATAGCTGCATTGTAGCATGCAACAACCCTCCACCAAGAGGAGCATGACATACCCTCCTAGCATATCTGACTCCCTCTGTACTCTATAGCACAATCATCACTTCTTGATTTGGCACTCGTGTAATGATGAACTTGGTCATGAACTTTTCCACATTATTTCATAAGTATCTGAAACTTCCACTTTGTCTGGTGTGAGACAAGTTGTTGGTCATGCTAGTTTCACACCTACATTGGCATTGGGTTTGTCTTTGTCTGTTGGGAGGAGTGATGGCTTTTGTGTGGTGGATGGTGGTGTAGTTCATGTGACCTATGCCTTTATTTTTGACCTGACATGCCTCCACCTCTGTTTCTTGTTTGTAATGGAAAGGATTTTGCTTTTTTTTTCCCATTACCTACCTTTGTCTAATTGTATACCTATGCATTCTTGAATCTACCTAAGCCTTGTTTGTAATTTAAGGATTAAGTTTGTCAGGTTTGTTTCATGCCTTCTCTTTCTAGTTCATTTCCTCCTGCTTCTTTTTATATTTTTTACATTCTATCCAGATGTGCTTGTCTGTATTCAGTTACTTTTACCACTACTTTGGTGCCTACATGCCTCGTTCTCCTTCCTTTGTTACTTTATATGAATAGGCCTAACTTCATGCTGTATTGCCTTTCTTTGACTCCCAAACTCTGGAGTCTTTTCTTTCAACTTGCGGTCAGATCCTCTGTCTTTTGTTCATCTTTTCTTAGGTTTATGTTTTCCCATCTTTGTCTCTCACACTCTAAACTTTTTGGTTATTCTTCCTTCATTCATTTTTTTTCCATGGTAATCCACCATTCCCTTGTGGGGTTTTTGGTGGATGCCCATTCAAGTATCTTCTCTTCAGTGGTATGTTTATCTTCCTTGGCCTTATCCCCTTATATTTGATTTATTTATTGCTAGTTTTTTGGGGCATGATACATTAATTACTCAGGTCTTTTTGCCTCCCTTTTGGTATTTGGGTGTTTTATGTTGAAGACTGTTATTGTTTTTTGTCATTTATTTCTTAATTTGTCACAGAGAAAACAAAGCTAAGCAAGCAGCAGAAGCAGAACATCAAGTCTGGCTTCAAGAAAGAGAAGCTAAGATTGCTGCTTTTAAAGCATCTAAAGCTGGATTATTGGGAAAAACCAAAAAGCCAGGAGACATGCAGTTTTCTTTAGACGTTCGACGGAATAGTTCTCAGTCTGAACAAAGTGAGCACGAAAATACTGTAGACTCACCCCTTAGTGAGCCATTGAGTGTAGAGGTAAACTTTCTTCATAGTAATAATGGTTTTTGAATGAATTATCTGTAACAGTAGCTTTAGTTTACAGTTCAAAACAGTAAAATTCCTAACATTTAGTTTTTAATTTGAAAGAGTGAAAATTAAGTATCAAATTTTTCAAAATACTTAAGATAACTTCCTGATTGGATTGGTGTTGATTTTGTTACTCAGATGTATTACCTTAGAAATACAGCAGATGAAAACTGATTCACTGATGGTATTTATAATAGTAAAGATAAGATGCTGAATTATTATTTAATATTAACGAATAGAATAGTAGTCTGTATTACCGATTATATAGTAAGCTTGTGACATACAGAAGATATAACTTCACAAATATAAGGTTTTTGCTATATATATTTGATTGTTTTCAATTGTACAACTGAAAAAACACATCATCAAAGAAATAGAAGCTCCCTAACATTATTATTATAATGAATTTCTTGTGTATTTAAAAGTTAATAGAAGTGTAGAATTGTGTGTAGGTCTTAGTAAATACACATCTTCCTATATTAAAAATTGAATACGGAAATAAAAAAAAAATCAATTATGTATTATAAGTAAATTGTATTTTTTAATAATTGATTGACAAAAAGCTTCATAAAAATTGGTTGTTTAGAGACTTCATCTTGCTTGTTAACTCTCTCCATAGATTTTGCATTCTGTTTCCAAGGTGATATAATAATATGCTTTCACTTTTCTTTTGTCATATTCATAGACAGTCATGTGTTATTTCTACTTTTTCCCTTTCATTTGCAATGCATTATACCATGTATAGGCATATCTTTTTTTTCCCTGGCAGTTTGTACAAGTACACTTTTTCAATTTGCACTTGTTTGTGCCATGAATGATCTTGACTTTGTGTGGGTTTCTCGCATTTCTTTTTCCATTGTTTTTAGTTTTCTGTGTTAACTTCTGATTTTGGATTATCAAACTACTAACCATTGGTTATGAATTTTTCTTGTGGAAGTGAGGCTAATAATGCTGCTTTTTGTAGTCTTTAGGTTTTGCGGGATTTTTGTATCTGACCTTAAGCACTTGTTTGAAGAAGCATTATTTCACTCATTTTTTTTGGTAATCAATGGAAGGTTTTTCTTGATGATGATTATCAAAGTTATTTAATTAATGTTATTGTGGAGAATGATTTTCCATGAGGGTTGTGATGCTTTTGTGTTGAACCCTCATGGCATAGAGGATGTTATATGACAGATTTTCCCCCAGGTTGTATTATTATTTGTATTCTTTTGGTTTGTGAGGAGTTATATTTATTTTCTTCTCTGGATTTCTTGATGAAATATAAACTTTTAAGCAGCATTATAGGAGTTTTTCTTACTAAGTTGGCCTGCTTTTTTATAGTTTCAATGTCGTAATGCTGCAGGCTGAATGGGTATTCATCTTTAATGGCATTGGCTTCCTCAGTTGATAAACCTGGGTTTATTGTCTTTCCTGAGTTTTATTTCTGTTACTCAGCCACGTAAGAAGTTTATAATACAGGTTTCTTAGATTTTTTAGATGAATGTTATGAGCGTCTTCTAATTATTATGATAGTTTTGAAATAATAATAATTATTTTTTACATGGAAATATTTGTAAGGCATTAAATTCATATATGTATTCTCAGACAAATCCATAAGATGTAACAAAATACAAAAAAATCTGTTATCATACATATTTTACTAGCAGAACATAGTGATAAAATATTTGTCACAAAAATTATGTTTAAAAAATGTTACTTCTCCAGGTTTTTCACATCTATATCTTTTTGTATTCAGTCTTTTGGTTGTCAAAAATAATTTTTTTCATCATTATTTACATGTGTACCTCTAACAAGAACAAATAAGCTATTAAATCTAAGAGATTTACAACAATTTTCATTCTACTTTATCATACGGAATTTTAATCATATTTAAAAAGTTATGTTTAATAGTGATGTATAGCTGCTGTTTACAAGCAGTATAAACTACATAACTTTACTCAGTAGTTGTAGTAGTTGTCACAGTAGGGATTTGAAATTGCAGACCCAGTATGTTCAAAATTAAATAATTTCCCTTCATTCCACTTGAGATCTAAGAAGTATATGGAGAGTATGTTGCATGCAAGAGAGAGAGAAAATACAAATCTGGGGATCAGTAGATCCAATTCTATACAGTGGATGTATTTCATTATGTTATAATATTGCTACTTGATATCAGTATCATATATTATCCAAGGTTAATGCTTAACGTTTTTTAGAGAGCCAGCTGGGTCCCGAAAACTTGGATTTAGGGGCCCGCAAGCAGTTTTAGGGTCCAGTCCTATAGCTCATTGTAAAATGTACACTATAGTGGAGGTTATCAGAAAAATCATCAACTTTACTGTACATAGTTGGAATTGGGCAGATTGTGTTCTATAATAATCGGCAATCGGCGATTTCTGATTGTGACATGATCTGTAAAACAATAATACTATGGTTTTTTTTTGGCTAATGTAGTCTGCAAAGCTGGATTCAAAATTGTTTGCATTAACATGCAAAAATTGACAAACAATGTACATGCAGTAAGGTAGATTCTCCAAACAATTTACAGGCTTGTAATTTTTACTTGTCTGTTTTTGGAAAGTGTTGACAATAAAGAATACATGGGCATTCATAGTGATGACGTTTGTGGATTGTACATGACTGACGAGTGTTCATAAATTTGGGTAGGTCCGTTCATGGTTTGTCATAAGTTCTGTTTGGTTAAGAAGCCCTTAGATCAATTTATGTGGAGTCAAATTTTTAATAGCTTTTTTTATTTTAAGGGGTCATATGGGCTACCTAGCAGACACTTTTTATGGGCCTGCAGGTATTTTTGAGGGCCATTGGCTCCTGCTAATTTTTTTTTAAGTTCTCTTATTGTTTAACCAAGTTATAATGATATTTTATCATTTGCCAAACCTACTTAGCTACATTTTGAAATTATATAAAAGTTCACACTTCAAGCAGTTTAGTGTGGAAAACTATATATATATATACTTATTTTCAGTTATCTTAGGATTTTTAATCAATCTTGATTTTTTCGCTCTTTCATTGAAATGATTGTTTTGATCCATTTATAGCACTGTTTTGTTGCTTGCTATTCCTGAAACTTATTGCTGAAGGATAAAAACCTTTGAAGAAAACTACAGTTTTATAATTTATTTAAGGTGGAAGATGATTCCAGCCCTTTACATCCTTGCATTGTTAGTGGTGGAGATACATCTCTAAGCACAACAAAAAATGTGTTAACAATTGGAACGTTACCACCTGTTGTGTCTACTCCAACTCCATCTCCAACAACACCAGGAGTGTCATCTACTTCTCCACTCTTAACTTCATTGTTGAGGAGTCCAACTGCAGCTACCCCAGCTTCACCTGGTGTATCCATGACTTTGTCAGCTTGTGGTGTCCAACCTAAAGAGGTAAGCTAATATTTTGTTGTTTGTCATAATTTGTAGTGCATACTGGAGAGACTTAGACATTTGGTCAGTAAAATTGGAAAAAAAACAAAAAAAACGAATTTTCTTCTCCAGATAATAATAATAATTTTTCTTTTTGTATTTCAGCCAACATTTTGCCATTGTGTCTTCATCAGGGCTTGTAGTGCAAGAACTGTTTATATTTGTTTTTTTATGCTGACCAGTTTGCTTTTTTGCACAAGGTATGCTGTTGTAGCACTGCAGTGGATTTAGTCAATTGATGGGATTTGTTTTTCTCAGAATTTGTAGTACATGCTTGAGGGATTTAGACATTTTGGCAATGAAGTTAGAAAAAAAGTACTTTCATTCTCCAGATAATAATGAAAAATAAATTTTCAGCTAGTGTTTCGCCATTGTGGCTTCATCAAGGCTTCAACAGTTCTTGTAGTACTAACCTTGATGAAGTCACAATGGCAAAATTTTGGTTGAAGTATAAGTTTTTTTTAATCATTATCTGGAAAGTTAAGGCTGTTTTTAATACCAAGGTAATACTTTGAACACCACTGTAGTTAGTGTTTATAATGGAATAGTGAAATATTGTTATGACACAAGTTATTTTCTGATATTCAACTTTTATGATGAGGAAAAAAACACCAAAATTCAGTATCCAGTTTTATACATACACTAATTTTGGGAATTAAATAGAGACTAATTCTTTTCTGTATATATTTGAGTAGTTAAGATACATAGAATTAAAAAAAATTAAAATTATTAATTTACCTAGAAATGCAGAGTTTATGGTATAATAAATATGGTAAAACTTTATTATTAAAAAAATGGGGTAATGCAGTTCAAATCAGTTGCTATCTGCAACGTGTATCACTAAATGGTAATTTTGGGTAAAAAACTTAATTTTTGAAAATAATATGCGCGCTAATATAGTTAAAAGGCAATAGAGTTTTGGGAAGTTAGTATATATATAGATTTGTTCTAATATCACTCATTCTGTCATGCTATTGAAATTTAAAAGCATTACCTTGACCAGTAAATAAAAAGTTATATTTTCATTCTTTTCTTTTTTTATTATTATTTAGATTACTTGCTCAAGTCAAGTAAGAGTTCAAAATTTACTAACTTGTACACATAAAATACAGAAACACATTGAGTTGCTCAGTATTATTTCAGATAAAGAAATCCTTAATAAAACATATTTTTCAAATACAGTTAATTATAAGTTTTTATCACGCACTATAAACAAGGCACATACAATTTTTTCACAAAACTTTATTTTTCACATTGAATTGAGTATGGCCCATGGACAGCATGCCAGACTGTAGATCTCCAGTTTGTGGGCTATAGGTGCATTATAAGAGACAAATAGCATAACATTTCACATAACACGTTGGTTGCAGTCTTCAGATAGTTGTTGCAATGCTTATTGGTGTCGATACACATATATGGTTGCTGATTATGAAGTTGATTGTTGATTCTTCTAATTTTGATTGAAAACTTGTAAAATTTATAATTTTGTTGTTTCATACCCTAGATTTATCATTCAAAACTTTATTTAGATTGATTTTGTAATATTACCTATACTTGATTATCTGTAGTTCAATAATAAATAAATCTATTATCATGAGGCACAAGAACATTGATTTTATTCATCCATGCCATGTTTTCTGTAACAAAATTGTTTTCAAAGATATATACATCTGATCACAATTTTTTTTTTTCCATTAAACAAAATTTCTTTTACAGAATCAAAATTAGATATTAATGTAATTGTCTGATCCATACTTTATACAACATAATATCTAAAGATATTCATAACTTCATCAGACTATTATTGTTATTTTCTAGGGATCTGTACCTACTACTTCACAAGCTATTCCACGACCATCCCCAACATCACAGCCTTTCTTTAATCCCACTAGTGCCCTTGCTACAGCAGCAGCAAGACAGCTGGCTGTAGCAACAGCTTCTGTCTCATCTGTATCTCCGAGTAACACTCAGCCAGAAATCAGTGAATCTTTACTGTTTACATCCTCACCTTCAACTTCATCAGGTAGGTTTATTTCTTAAGAAACTTACTATAGTTGTCTGTTTTTTTTACTTTAATGTTTGAGTAACCAGTTTCTTCAGTTTTCAGTAACTTTCATCAAATGTGTTACAAGACATTTCTAAGATTGGTGATACCTGATGTATATTAATAAACATTGGTAATAAAGTTGCTTAATTAAGTTTTGAGTGTAACTCTATAATAAAGTAGTAAAAAAGTTGTGACATCCACACTTTGACTTCTTGAATTCATAGGGTTATACTGATATTGATAATGTCCATTTACGAACGAAGACTGCAAAATTCATCTTCTGACATTATCGTTCTATGAAGTAAGAAATGTCAAGATTATAATTTTTAAGGAATTTTTGCCAAAATAACTTTTGAAATAAAAAATTTAGTTTTTTGATTTTACAAAAGTGTTGAAAATAGGAAGATTCACATCATGTCAGAATAATGCAGTAGTTCTCAAATTGTCGAAGTTGGTGCACCTCCCTTTTTTTTCTTTGATGGTGATCACTGCATATGGGGGGGATGCTTACCATGGTTTGAGGTATGATGTACTAATAGATTTATCCAATGTAATTGATCAGAAAATACCACTAATCATCCAGGTCTAATAATAACTCTCAACATACTTGTGGTTTTGTAATGCTTGCTCACATTCATCATTCCATATGAAGTACATTTCAACTCTTTAATACTTGAGCTTAAACAATGAAATGTTGAGCCCACAGACCCATGGTTACACCTTGGACATGTAATAGATGATGTAAGAGCAATCTATTTTAGGAATCTTGTCTTTCAATTTAAAATGATTATGTATATGACCTATTGGTTTGGAAACAATTCTAAACTTAATTTGTGGATAAACTTTGTTATTCAAAGTCATTTTAATCTTTTTGTTCAGTTGTATAGCACATTTGCCAGTAAAAGGTACAAAACTAAAAACTATATATTTAGTTTCAACATGTTTACTAATTCTAGAAATGTAAAAAGCTTTTAAGTAATTCTTAATAGTACTATCAATTAACTGTAAAGGAAAACTTTTTTTTGTAATAAAATCTTTATATTTTGTACTTCTTCATGGAATCCAGTAAAGGAACTAACTATATTGTAAGACTGACAAATTAAATTGTAAATTAAATTTTTCTTAAATTCAAAAGGTAAAAAAACTGTCAAAATGAAAATATTGCCCAGTAAATGTTGGTTTATGGTAATGCTTAGTCTCAAAACTTTTCCTTAATTTAATTAAGTTAAAGAGTATGTGCGAAATACTCTATATAATCAGTCGCCATTCTTCATCACTGTTTGCAAGACCACGACATTAGAATTTCAGCATCTTGGAGAGTGTGGCCAATGTAAAAATGCTCCACACTAAAGAAAGCTTGTGGATACACAAGGTGCATCCTGAGTTGAATGTAAACCAAACATCATAATCTTTGCTTCTGATGTGGTTTAGATACCTGGGTAGGACTGTCTGTTCAAGTTACAACCACTGTAGACTTCTTTTTTTCTTGAAACTGGTTTGAAGTTATTAGTTCATACCACATAACTATAGAAACTACCTTGGTAAGGGTGGGAAAATTATTCATGTTCATTGGTGGCTCCTAATCTCACTGGGTAGCCCTTCCACAAACTTGCCAATAAGATATATGATATCATCATTATCTGCCAAAGCCATTTCAGGAAAGCTTCACTGTACCCACCTTTCTTTCATGATCTGTCAATCACCATTTAACCAAGATGTCTTTGATGTCGAGGGTACAGTATTGTAGACATACTCAGGGACTATGACTCTTGTTAGGATAGTTACTTTTTGGTTCAAGATGGTAGAGGAATAAGTTCACAGAAGTCCATGGTTTACCGTCTTTTCCATTCAATGCCTGGCATCTCACCTGGCAGTGAGATAGCTCTATTTTGGATGTTGTCCATCAATGGCATCTCCCTTTTCCCTTGACCATTCTTGAATGGCTTGAACCAGAGCTTGGATTAGGTTGATATGGCTTGAGAAGGGCTGGGAGTCTTACACAGACTGCCCTATTCAGTCTTAGACTTTTCAGATGCCACACCTCTGCAATGAATCTCACTTGTCCTTGCTTTCCTTGTTCTGAGGTCAATCCTCATGAAATAATATGAATGGCCACTCAGGGTGCACCAGACATTAGCAACTCTTTTCTTCATGAGTTATTGGCTGCAACAAGATAGAAGTCTTGGACTTCACAGCATTTGCAATTGTTCTGTATCCAGGAGAGGAGTTCTAGACTCAATAATCTTGTCAAACAACATTTTCCTTTCAATGACCAACTCTCTTCCTCTTGGTCATAAGTGGAAAGTGCCATTCCAATGACAGCAAAGCCTTCTTAAACTTAAGTACATTAATAGTAATTGCACACACTTATAATATACTTATATACCACAATATTTAGACTTTTTGACAATAACTTTTATAAGGTTATTTTTTGTCTTATAACAGTGAAGTACATTGTGTTAAACCACACTAAACTGCTTAAACATTAAAAACGTTTATATGATTTTAGGTGGTAAATTAATATTTTAATAAAGCATGGTGATGCAACTTGATGATTGTAAAGTCCAAATTTATTTAAACAAATCAAAATACAGTTGATATAAGTTTGTTTGAAATATTTTTAAAAATGTAGAATATTTGTGTAGTTAATATTGTTGACATATAAATATTGTACAGGATTTCTCTATTACTAGGGTGTGAAAAAGAAAAACTTAATACCTGCTGAGTAAATGAAAAATTAATTATATTTTAATAAGTATATGTAAACTAGATATTTTTAACTTTTAAATTACCAGTAGAGTTGGTACTAACTTCATCAGCTTTTAAAAACACTTTTGTGAACTTATTTATGCATAAAACTGCATGTAGGTCCATGACTTTTATTGATGATGAAGGCCCTAACAACATAAATAATTTTAAAATATCACTGATACTGCATTTAATCCCATTAATTATTACTAGGGCCTCCTATTTATTTTACATAGAATTGAGTGATTTAATATTTTATACTGAGTGTAGATAATGAACAAAAAAGTTAACTTATTTAATATTATACAATATGTGAACCCATCATTAATGATCTATGTAAAAACAACTTGGTAATTTGAGAGTTAAGCATTTTTTTATCCTTCGTATTAAGGTACAAGTTTTAAAAGAATATATAACATGTAACTTTTAAAATTTCTGTTGGTAGATTCAAGTATGCTATTTACTATTACATGTAATGTTTTCATCTTTTTCTTGTTATTATGAAGTTTTGTATTTGTGGTATTTGAGCCAAAAGTTGTGATTTTTCAGTTAGTGTGGTTACTGATAATGATATTATATCATTTGTAAACGATTTATAAAAAGTGTATTGTTTATTTTTATAGCACCAACTTTGTCCAAATTACTAGAGTTGCCACCAAGTTTACCTGGAAAACTTCCCTCATTACCGATACTCTTCCCCAAGGATGCCCCTTCTGTTAATATTCCTTCATCCACCTTTTGTATAGATGCTACTTCAACAGCAACCACCACATCATCAACTACATCCCAACCAGCTTCTGATTCTACCATAGTTGCTGATACATCATCAAGTGAAGTAACTGAAGCTCCGACACCTTCCAACCATATTCCGAGTAACATAGTAAAAGAAAATGAAGCATCAGATTCATTATTGGCTAATGATGTAACTGTGAAACAGGAACTACCTGAAGTTGAATCAGAACATTCTTTGTCACATCTTTTGTTACTAGACAATCAAACAACAGAAACAGAAAATAAAGCAAAGGTAGAAGAGTCTGAAAAAGCAGCAGTAAAGGATGATATTAAACTTGAAGGTACAGACCTTGAAAGTAAGTATATATATAAATGTTTATTCACACAGTAAAACAATGTCTACTTTAGTTTGACATTATAATTTGTATAGTAATTTTTTTAAGTAATCATACTTGTTGCAAATAATATAGATGTAATATTTCCTTTCTTCTGACCTATTGCCATATAATTTGTATTTTGCATTGTTTTCAGAAAGTAAACTGCTTAAACCTTAAGCAGACTTTGTTAACATATTAACACTTCTCCATAACTTAGATAATGATATTCAAACTCTGTTTTGTTTTTTCAAATATTTGCATAAATGTCTTCTCATTTAGAGAACATTCTTTTATACTCTAAATTTGTTTTTTCTGTGCTGTGGTTACAGCATCCAAAAACATGATCTAAATACAAATGTTAAACTAGATAGCAGCTATGAAAGATCAAATTAGGGGTTACGAGTTGAGTGCCTTGAACTATGAACTCCTAACTGTCTTAACATCTGAACTCCTACTGTCTTTCCCAGTTTTCAACCATTAAGTACCCATCTTTCTCCCTTGTATTTGTAATAACAGTAATTCTTGTATAGATAATGTTCAGTTACCAGCAAATAAATTATAAAGTAATGGATATAAAGATTGAGAAATAAAAAAACTGCCTTTTTGTAATAAATATTGCAATATGTTAAAAAATTTATCTTTCATAAGTTAAATGATTACTTTTTTGTGGTCATAATGAGGACACTAGCCATTCAAGATTTTCCAAAGGTAGCCTTAAAATAATATCTAGTGACTTGTTCAGTATACTGGACTGGAAAGACCAACTTCAGGTAGCTCGTCTTAGTTTACCCAGATTTTATCGTGGGAGGAGTATAGATATTTAATTAATTATTACTAAACTATCAAGGTAAGGGTTTTTAGTTCCAATTACCATCATTTTGTCATAATTATTTAAAGCGTGGAAGTTGGGAGTCATACAGATGTAGAAATATAGGGTGATTTATTTCTGGTATATGGTTATTTTAGCAACTGCTTTTTATATAAAAACGTTAGGGGTGACTGGCTGCAGACAGTGAAAGGTGGTAGGAGTTGAGATGTTGAGGGTTAAAGACTCGACTCCTAACCCCTAATTTGATTTTCTGTAGCTGCTATCTAGTTTGACATTTGCAGTTGGATTATGCCTGTTAGATGGAATATCTGATTACACATGCCACTACTGTAGGCAGTTGGCAGTCAAGTGCCATTTTAAAGGGTTTTGGACTTCGTGCTTGCTGGTGGGTGTCTCTACTTTGTATACAATCTTCTCTTAGTTCACTTACATGAGTGTATGCGGATATATAAAAACCAAAACCAAGATATCAATTATGAGATTCTAACCTTAAAAAAAATTGTCCATTACCAGTCCTTGTGATTATTTATTAAATCATAACAGAAAATGTCTGTGGTTGCAGCAACCAAAAGAATTGGTTGTGGGCTCAATTCAAGGCCTTTCTCATCTCCGATAGTCCCACACATAGCTGGTAGACTTTTTCTTGCAGTCAGGAGAATGGAGTATCCCTTCAAAATAACTGGTCTTCCTCTCATTTATGTAGAGCCTAGGCCTTGAATATCTACTGGCAATACTGACTTAACGTTAGGGTCTTTTTGATGGTTAATTTCACAGTGATGGTGGGTATGGGGGCGGTTGACATCTCACGGAGACCTCTTTGGGGAGATGCTTGACTGCTGCAGTGGTGAAAGCCACTTGTTCAACTTGGACTTTTTGGCTAGTATCTGACCATCATGGTGTCTTTAGACATTACCCTGCTGATGATGGTAAGCAGCAAAGTATAGATAGCTGGAACTTAACTCATATATTTGGCTTGAATGAACTTCTGATCTGGAAATGTCTTTCTTGGCTTCATAATGTAATGCTATTCTGGAAGTACTAGTGCATCTGGTGTGGTTTCTTCTTGGTGATCACTGATGGGTGGCTCCCAATATATAGATGACCACTGGGATACATAAACAAAGACTGGGGAAGGTTATGTTCTTGGCTTTTGTTTCACCTGCAACCTTATTCTGCCAGCTACATTGGCACAACCATAGTGTTTTAAGTTTCTACTGGCAAGTCTTCACTTCAGTACAAGTGCAATGAACTATATAAGAATAATTTTGTCTTAGTAATATCTGAATACACTATGTAGGGTGTGTGTGTGTGTCTTTTCTATGAAACCTTTTGTTTCTGTTTCCAAATGTATTTAGATAACATATAGAGTAGATGTTATATTATTCATTCTCTTCCAAAATGTTACTCAGAATGGTTAATTTTTGCATTCTGACCATTTGTCTCACCATATTTTAGACTTGCTACTTTCTAATATGTAGTCCTTATCTGAATGTAAATTCAGATTTGTCACTCTTGGACTCAGTATTTATTTAGATGCATCTTTACAAGTATAATTATTTTCACTTTATGTGTTTTCCTGTAAAATCTATGTAAGTTGTAAGATAGCCTCATTCAGTTTCACTTGGTTCTAAAACATAGCACCCATTTACGATATCTATATGCATGTGTGTGTATACACAAAGTTGAGTACTTTATATCAAGATGATTTTGAATATGCAGCTCGATCTGCATGTCACATGACAACAACAGCCAATATAAAGTCTTAGTGCAAAGGAATGTATCAGAAATAAATTTTTAATATTGTTAGGCATCCCGTAGATAGTGTGATGCCACCAAAAACAAATTGATTTTGGGAAGAGTATGAAAAAGCCTTTTCCTTCCTGAAATAATCACACACTTAAATCATAAAAATGTATTCAGATCAAGGAATTTTATAGAATTTTCATGACTGGGATACACAGGGATGTCTCTTGTATGTAATGACATTGGAAAACAAATGAATATGGTTGAACTTGGGACACAAGGATCCTCCAGTAAGAGACCTGCAACAAGTTGTATTCTAGTTATGGTAAGCAAAGTATAGCATCTTGTAACTAGTCAGAGACAAAAGCCATCCAGATGCTCCTAGGAAACAGTTTTGCAACATAATCAAGAAGGATCTTCATCTGGAAACAAGGCTAATAGGGTATTGGTTCACCAAAATAAGACTTCTAGTCATACCTCAAGCTAAACCATTGCATGCCTTAAGCAGCTGTAAAGTGTAGCAAGCATTAATGCTATTGTATATGAAGAGTTCACCAAAATAAGACTTTTAGTCATACCACAAGTTCAATCATTGCATGTCTTAAGCAGCTGGAAAATGTAGCAAGCATTAATGCTGTTGTATATGAAAACATACTGGTCAAATCGCTAGATGCAGTGTCTGTGAGTTTCTGTGCAATTAGCTTATTGAAATGGATGCTGGGAAACCATCATCCTCATACTCAAGATGGATTATTGAAAGCTAATATGGAGGTTTGGTGTGCTTTGGTCATGACAACATTATGTCAAATCTTTTACAGTAGAAACTATATTGCAAAGCTATTGTCAAGTTGCACTGTCAGAGCATGATTGGACATGGCAACATAGACTGTAATTATCTGATGAGGCTCCAAAATAGTTTTGATAAAATTATTCAGCCTCCTATGTGTGTGTGTAATATTGTACACACACACACACCCCAGATTTATAAAAATTAGTCTGTGATTAAATTCAATAAAGCACATAGGAAAATATTGTAAGTACATTAGCTTATGACATAATTTATTGCCAGATTATTTTACATTTACATGATAACATGATACAGTCAGAAAATTTATAAAGTTTCCGTTGTTTTGTTTGCTCAAGATATCATTGAAATGTGAATTAAACTCATAATGCATGGATAGAGAATAACTGATATTGGGACACAAGCTGTGAATACTTCAAACATTTGTTTAACAAGATAATTTTGTGTAGGAATATCTGATGTGTCTAAGATCATCAGGGAAGAAGAATCAGAACTGTTTAGCAGTGAGCTAGAGAAAAAAACTGATGAATTAACATTTGCCCTTGAAAAGGCTTCAACGAAAAATGAAAATAAAAGTGTTCTACAAGGAAATAACAGTGAAGGTACAGAGCAGGTGAGTAATTAACAAAATCTTTTTTTTTTGCCCATGAGATTTGGTGTTTAGGGATAGTTTGATTTGTATTACAGATGTTATTGTTGATTTATATAACTTGTAAAAGTTTTTTCCAAAATTTTATTATTACACAAGATGAAAAGTAAGTTAAATAAAAAAAGCATTATATGTAGTGTTTAAAAAAAAGTACATCATCATTAACTAGTTTTTATTCAACTGAGTTTTTGACAGTACATACCACAAAAACATATGAAGAATTATCTATATTATTTCCTGTCACAAATTTCAAATCTATATAGTATGGTGAGAAAAACAACATTATAAATCTTGTACTGTCTCAAGCACATTCTAGTCATGCAATTTTAAAAAATCATCAATAAGTGTCAAAGTGGCTGACAGAATGGTAATTCATAGGCAGACCATATTCTGAATATGGAGAGTCAGTACATTTTTCCAAATGGACCTCTAATTTATATGCAATTTTTATTTTGTTTTAATTCCCATTTATATTATGAATTTTTGAAGAATGGAACTGTGTTATAAACAATTTATTAACAAAATGTACACTCTGCAGTATCCCAAGTTAAAAATTCTGAAACCAAAGCACCATGTTTCATAAGTAAACAAAATACTGTGTTGAAGGTTGCTAAGACTTTTGTTTTGACTTCTGTGTGTTTGTTTGTGGAACAGGGACAGTTGCAAAATGGTGAAAGATGTTTCTCTGAACCTTGACTTTACTGTAAGCTAGAAATTATGGCCTTAGAAAAAAAAAAGTAACTACTTTTGGGCTCATAAGTATCTTATAAAGTATTATATAAACATTTTTATTTGCTCTGTGCGGATGTGTGACAACATTGTTTATAAAGAACAGGTGGTTTTTTACATATTGTTGTATATTATATTTTTTAACTTAGATGCTTGTGTTATTGTTTTGCCAGAGGGAGTGTTGATTTTGCATGATGAGTGCATGGCTTAACATCTCAAATTTTTTGAAAGTTTAGGAAATGATTTGAGCAATGTAAAATGCGTGTTAAGTGAGACTAGATGAAGCTGTAAAATGGTTATTGAATCAGTTAATTAGTTAGTTCAGCTCTTTAAATTTTGAAGTTTAAAAGAAATACAAAAGTAAGATTGTTTATGTACGAGAAAATTAACAAATAGGTGGAATTGAGACGTTATTTATTTGAGAAGTTAGGCCCATCATTAACTATGTGAAGCTTGTACAATTTATAGAACTTCAATTCAAAAACTAAAATGCATTCATTATCATTAATTGGACTGAACTTTGCATTTTTCTTTTTATCAAATAATCTAAAGGAAACCATCCAGCAGTAGGAATCATTATTACTATATGAAGAGCTGAGAACAAGAATTATGCTAATGATTCTTTAAGAGTAAACAGAACCTACTTTATAATGATGCGTTTCAACAAACAAAAGAAAAATAGTAGGCTTTCAGTGTTCATCATAAAATGATGAGAATAATACTTTTTCACATTGTTAGTTTGTTTCGTGTACATTAATGCTATTACTCAGATTAAGCTGAAAAACAAATATAAATTTTTTCTCTTTTTTATGTGTTCAGATACATCCTTGCAGTATTTGCTGTTTACTTATAAACAACTCTTTGGCATGTATCTTGTTACTTTTGTGTTAGTCAGACACTTGTTTGTATTTTGGAAATTTATTAGTCATCTTGAAGAATTAAAAACAATTCATTAAATTAGGCCAAAGTACTCCTATTTGATATGGAAAATATTTCTGTTACAAAATTAAATGTAATATTTGTTTTTTTCTTCTCAAGTGTAAATGCTTTGTTTATGATAATTTTTATTTCAAATCATGTAGACTTACCTTCATAATACTGAAAGCCTTTTCTTATTGTGCTAGAACTCATGCTGTAAACAAAACATTTCCAAATGTCCTTTATTCATTGTAGAGCATGCACATTGCTGTAGGAAGCAATTTTGAACTGATCAGGCCTTTGCCACATTGCCATTTCTATGGGGTCTTGGGGCATGCCTCACCAGAAAATATTTGAAAATTTAATGCTATGAGATTGAATCTAGAGCCATTTTAACTACAAATACTACACACACACACACAAAGTAATGTATTGAATTAAAAGAAGCAAATTTTAATACATAAGTTTTAGCTATACATGCCATGAAAAATGGTCAGGCCATAGCCTGTCTGACCCTACTGCTTCCTATGGCCGTGATGCATCATTTACCCATAATTCTCCATATTCTTACCTTTTATGTGACTTATTGTGCAGGCTTCATGGTATCTCACATAAGCTCTGAATTCCCAGTTTAATTTAGGTTTTCTTGTTGATAGTCATGCTGTTAGCTTTTCTATGATGTTCTTTTTGATGCAACTGTTTTCACCACTGTTGTATTTTCTATTTCCTTAATTGAAAGCCTTACTTACATTATTTACCTATAGCATGTGGAGTAACATTGTCAATGTGGTGATAGTTCCGTGTATTTATGCTGTTGTATATTGATGTTCCTAGCAGGTATAATGATTGTGTGTATTTGTAATTTGCATAACTCTTGCCATTTGTTTTCTTTTTAGTTTTGATAAAGATTGATTTTTTGCTTAGGCCTAATAGCCTTTAGAGTCTATACAGCTGGTTTTGTCTACTACATGCTAGTTCTAATCACGATGATATTTCTGCTGGTCTCATTTCTTTTTTTCTGAGGTATGTTCTGTATTTCAGTTGTCGTATGTGAGTTCTGTACTTCTCATGGTATTTGGGTCGTGATAATTTTTAAAGCTAGCTCTGTATTCATACACTTCATATTTCTCTTCCTTCTACATTTTTGACTCTCAGGATGTTTATTAATTGGGGTTACTTGATTTTTTTCTTTGACCTATCATCAGTTGTTTTCTGCACTACATGCAATGATTTGGCTTGTTTGGAGACATTCTTTTTCTGCATTACTTTTAGTTATTCTCATTCTCCTGATTATTTTACCCAGGATCATACATCTACTTTAATGTCTTTTCTTACCTGAGTGTTTCATTGATATTGTTTCTATTATTGTGCAGATCTTATGCTCTTTTGGCACTTTTGCCTATCCAGCTGTGTTGCAAAATATTAGTCTTTTAAACAAATGATCTTCATACACACACACACACACACACACACACACATATATATATGACAAAAAAATGCTTCATTTTTGTCTGTGCAGATATTTCACTTGAACTTGTTTTCTGTTTGGGGAAACTTGTCAGCAGGAGTTGATTGGAGTTTTATCATTTCTATTGGTCATCATTCCCTTCTAGAGGCCTGTGTGTAATGTTTTACAGTGCTCCCTACATCTACTCATACTTTTATGACTCACTCATTGACTTCTCCATTCAGACTTTTGGGACTGTCTCAGGTTTTTGTTCATTTATGGATCCTTTGCTATTTGTTCCTTGGGTTTTGCAAATTTTTATGTCCATTTTGTATTGACTATTTATCTTTGTGATTTGTAGTTTCTCAGATATCATTCTTACTGCCCATTTTACACCACCACTTTGTTCTAGTGCTGACAGATACTTTCACTGTCATGGCATATATCAACAAGCACAGTTGTAACTTTGTTTGCTGTGGTTTCTCTACTTTTTGGCTGCATTCACATCATTTCTTTCTCTGATCTGGTATTTCATTAGCTGTGTCCACAGTTTGGTTGTTGCATGCTTGCTGCATTCATGGTAGCAGTGCATCATCTTCAGGTGCTTTACTGTTTTGCAGTTCCAGGTTCAGCTTCTCCACCAGTAGATGTTGTTGAGCCCATCCGTGAGGTTGCTTGGATCTTTGATTCTCCTGAGCACCCACTAATTTGCCTGATTATGTGACTATGAGGCCATATTTGATATTGATGAAGGAGGGATAGTGCTTCTGGAGTATTTCCTTTCTTAGTACATGTCTGGGCTACTCTTCCTAGAACCTCCACTGCAGGAGTAAACCATAGTATTCTTATTACCCATTTATGCCACCACCTATGTTCTGTTGTTTTCTCTACAGGATCAGTACACCATTACTGATTAAAAACCAACCACTTTGCCTGAATAACAGAATATCATGAGTGAAGAGTTACCTTGCTAATAAGAATGCCTTTTCTGTGAGTGTCATCTTTTTATAAGTGTGGTCTGCATATCTCATTTTCCCACAAATCCAGTCCTTTTAAGTTATTTTCTGGCTCTGCATTAAAAATATATGTTTTAAAATATAGCTAATGAAATATATTGTTTACAATGTAAAATATTTTAAAAAGTTAGTATTTATGAAGCAGTCTGTGAAATTTGAGGATTTGAATTAGCTTGTTCTTAGTTGGAAAATGGTTGAGAACCACTGTTGTGGTCCACTTTATTATCGTTTTGCCTGTAACTTTTAATTTTATATGTTTTTTTTTTTCATGTTGGTATTGGGTATTCTGGCTTTCAGTATAGCAGAAGTAAATATCCGATTTGAAATTTACATTTTCAGAATTAAAATGACTTTCAAACATTTTCTTATCTTTGAAATACCTTCCCTCCTGCCTTCTCAAAACGGAATTTTCATCATGATTGCAGCTTTCAATAAAATATAATTTATGACAGGAAAGTAGAATTTATGTAAGATCCCCTGACATAAGTCATGTGTAAGGTAGGAGATTGGAAAATAATAGGAAAGTGATGCATGCTGAAATTCATTTTAATTCTGAAAATATAACATTCTGACTATGGTGTAGCTCTGGTACTCCCAATAAATAACAATGTAATAAAGATTGCATGGTCTAAACATTTTCAAACATGTTTTCAGTCTATTCAGAGCTCCTGTATTGTACAAGACGACCATTTTTCAAAACCTTCTTTCAGCAAAATGAAGGCCTCAGTAGCAAGTTTTATAGAGATGTCATCAGTGAGTGTAAGTCTGTAGTATTTCATATTATTGATTTCTAACCAGTGATATATGTAGCCTTAGTATATATGAATTCCCTAGAAGAGATATGTATTCCTATTAATAATGTGTACCTATTTATATATAAAATAAAATTTAACAAATAAATTAAAGTAAGGTACAGATAAATTGAACAACAATGCATCCTCTGTGATTAGATCACTAGGTTGCTTGACTGCCAGTTTGAGACATTTAATTGTTCCGATACAGTACATTATCTCTTCTCACATATGTATAGCTATTCTCGTTTGGTGCTGCCTTCTATATGCATAAACTTTTTTTCATATGCCACAAGCCTTGCACTCCCACGTATCCCACAATCATTGTGGTTCAGCTGTATCTTGCATGTAAATCATCATGCGACAACCCTCCACCAATAGGAGTGAGATACAAAACAAAATTAAAAACTCCATTCAGTAGAGAGTAGGATGGTGGTGTTCTGCTGGTGTAGAGGGCATGGGTCCTCCAATCCTGTGCTCCATTTTTGTACAATGGGCTATGAGGGTTGATGTTGCACCCAGCTTTTGTGTGGCTCCATCCAGAGGGTGCAGTTGCATATAATTAGTTGAGACGATCTCCTTCCTTGCAGTAAGACCTGGAAGGTTGTGATGTGCTCCAATTCTGTACAGTCCTATCTGAGTGAATGATGTCACACATGTCCGTTCTATCCAGAGGGTGAGGCTGCTTATGATTTATGGATGTAATTTGCTTTCATGCAGTGGGACCCAGAGGTTGCTATTGCACTCTAATCTTTGTATGATCCTATCTGTAGGATGATGTTGCTTTGGAGTTGATTCATCATCTTACCATCACGTGGATGTTGGTTCTTGATGATTGATTTCGGATTTAGAGCAGGACCAAGCAACATAATTTCTCACACGTGTGTTGCTTGTGTTTCCTCTTACTCTCTCAATTTGCCTCAAGATCACCAACTCTGCACGGTGGGTCCTGGAGATTGATGTTGCACCCATTTTTTGTGTGGTTTTATCTAGAGGGTGCAGTTGCATATAATTGGTTGAGGTGATCTCCTTCCTTGCAGTAAGACCAGGAATTTTGTGATGTGCTCCAATTCTGTACAGTCCTATCTGAGTGGATGATCTTGCACATGTCTACTAATAAATACACTCCACCATCGTGCGGTGGGTCCCGGAGGTTGATGTTATGCCCAGCTTCTATGTTATTCTCTCTGGTGGGTGAAGTGGTTATATTTTTCATCGAAGGTCATTCACTTCCATGCAATGGGACCCAGAGAGTGGTGTTGCACTCCAATCTCTGTGCTGTCTTATACTGAAGATAAATGAGATGATGGTTCTCCCTCTTGCACTCCATATCAAGATATTTATTTTTACATCACTGCAGCAACATGTGACGATCCTCCACCAATCATACTGTGCCACCTATACTAGTGCAGGTAGTTCCCTCTACCATTGCAGCACAATCCTCACATTCTCGATTGGCACAACAGTGTTTAGGCATTTGTTTACTTTGTTCTTCATGTGAATCCTGCTCGTTCATGTGTAATTCCTTGCTAGTTTCAATTTAAAGTTTTGAATTAATAGTTAATTTCATCCTTTCATTTACATTTGTTTTCGACTATTTCTTACATTTTTTGGGGAGAAGTCCAAATGGACTTATGAATTCGAATTTTAATGTGGTGGATGAAGAAGTTCCCAGCAAGATGGAAGGTGGTATTGCCACTAGTTCCCAGTGGGGGTAAGTTGATGATGTCAGTCGAGGAGGTTCAAACTTTAATCCACAGAGAGTTGGATGCTTTGGCTATTTTTGTGGTTCATTCTCCCTTTCCACATGAACATGCTTCTGATGAAGTTTTTCATCAGGATGAGGACAATTTTGACTATTTTCTAGGCTACTGATTTTTTTTGGCCAGTTAGGAGAGTTTGCCAACCATGCCTTTCCTACAAATTATCAATCAGGTGTGTCAAATTTTACATGTTTCACCTTGATTCAGCCCTTGATTCTTCTTCTTCTTTGTTGGGTGATGATCTTCGTCCTGACTATTAATTTTTTCCTCCCTCACCCAACATTCTTGTTCATGATCAATTTTTTCTGACCAATTGCAGTTGGGTATGGGTATGCCCCATCCCCATCTGCTGTTGGATTAGTATTCTTTTACTTGTGTCTCGAATCTCAATTTGGATTCACAAAGTCTGGATTCTTTCCTCCCCTTGTGGGGCTCGAATCCTGATGCTTTACTTCATTTTAATAGGTCCCAGTTTTCTGGGATTTGCTTTACTTTGACCACCCTTTTACGTGTTTTTTCCTCATTACAACTGTTATCTCAAGCCTTCTGCCAGTCGCCTGATCAATTCTCGACAGAACTCAGGGCGGTCCTGTAGTCTAACATGACCCATTTGTGAGCATTGGCGCTATCTCTCACCATGTGGATCTTATCTTGTCGAGATTTGCTGGGAAGTGATGCATTTTTTGCAGAAGTACATCCCCCCCTTTCTTTTTTGAGGTAGCTTTGTCAAGCCTGTTTCTTCATGAAATTGGTTTTTGTGGGTCGTCCTAATTCTTTGGAGTTCGAGGTCAATGTGGCAAGATTTTTCCTTCTTCTCCCTTGCCTCTCGTTTGTCTCACCCTACTGTTGCTGCCCAATCTTTACCTGTGAGAATTCCACATGCACCTTCTTCCTCTCCCTGTCCCTTACCCCATTCCAGGCATTCTCTTCCTTATGCTCGTTCTTCCCATTCCTACAGGATTATTTGTGACAGCACGTCTTTTTTCAAGAGCAGGTGGTGACCAAGTTACAACAGTTTTCAACTGTCTGGGAACTCTTCATGACAAGTCAGTGGGTTTTACAGGTTCTGACAGAGGGTCTTTGCCTTTGGTTCCAGTCCCCTCCCCCAATATTCTATCCCAGTTTCCTTTCCTCCTCCTCAGGATAGTGCCTTGTTCAGTTGTATAGTAGAGTTGGTTCATGACCTTCTTCACAAAGGAGCTATCGAACATGTGGTGTGAATCTGGATGGAATTTTACTTCCATCTGTTTGTTGTCCCCAAAAAGACGGAAGATTGGACTCATCATTAATTTATCCTGGCTGAATACCTTTCTGAAAACACTCCAATTCACCTTGTAGTCCTACATCTCCCTTCTATTGTTTTTTTCTCCAGGTCTTTGGATGACCAAATTTGATTTGGCAGATGCTAATTTTTATATTCCCATTGCTCCGGATTCACGGTTATCTCTGGTTCATCCACGGGTATGGGTTTTTCAGTTTCGAGCACTGCTGTTTTGTTTTGCTTCAACTCTTTATGTGTTTTGTAGTGTTGTCCATTCTCTTGCACATCATCTTCATACATTGGGTCTTCAGATTCATCATTACATAAATGACAGGCTACCGCTTGCTTCTTCCTAGGCCCAGTCTGTTACTCACACCCACCTTCTTCGAGAGTCTGCTCAGGTAGGGTTTCCCATCAAAGTGAAGAAATCTTTTCTATCCCCCATGTAATACCTCATTCATTTGGGGGTTCTCATTAATTCTTGTCTCAGTTGGGCCCAGCTTTCTCCACTTTGGCTTTGAAATATGGAGCAGTTTGTCTCTCAAGCACTATCTTCTCCTTCTCTTACTGCTTAAGAGGTTCTATCTTTTTTGGGGATGTGGGCCTTCCTGGAAATTCTCATTCTTTTTGGTCGAGCATACATGATATTCCTTTCAGTGGATGCTTCTCAACCTGTGAAATTTTTCCCACAATCCCTTGAACCATCCTATTACCCTTCTCCCAAGGATCATGGCTTTTATCACAGTGGGGCTTCCACTTCCTCTGCTTTGTCCTGACTCTCATCTGTTCACTGATGCTTCATTGGTGGGTTGAGGGACTTCCCTTGACCCTCAGAAGATTTAGGGTCAGTGGTCCATTGAGGAATCCTAGAACTTTTGGTGGTTCATCGAGCTTTCAGTTTTCTCCGCCTGTTCTTGTGGGGGTGAGTGGATATGGTTCATTCCAACAATTCCACTGTTGTCAACGGTATCATCAAACAAGAGGGAACCAAGTCCAGATCCTTGTGTTTTCAAACACTCAACCTCCTGTATTGATCTTTGTGTGATATGTTCCTAGTATTATGAATTTGGTTGCAGACTGCCCTCCTGTCCCAACTAAGTCCTTCCTACGGAGTGGTCCCTTCATCCTCAAGTTCTTCAGTGGGTGTGTTCTTGCCTGGGAACACCTCTTATAGAGGCAGTTGCCACTCACTGGAATGCCAAACTTCTTTCCTTCCTTTGGGTCTCCTGTCCTGTACCCCTCAGCTTTGCATTCAGTGAGGATTGGAGGGGGCCTTCATTTGTATGCTTACTGTCTGATGTGACCTATGTCCAGAGTTATTTCTCTCACCCAGACCACTTTTTGTTGCATGTTGCTAGTTGCTCCATATTTGCCTGCTCAATTGTGGTTTCCTCTGCTCTGGCTCTTACTGGAGCAACAATTTCAGTCCAGGTCTCTCCTCCAACAACCTCTATCAGATGTGTTTCATCCCATCATCACTAAACTCCATTCCTTTTGTGGCTTTTGTCCAGTCCATCGCTTCCTCTCAGGAACTCACCTCTCATGTAGCATCTTTGCTTATCCATGCCATTCCTCCTTCCTCTTTGTCTGTGTATCAGAGACATCAGTATACCTTCTGATAGTGGTCCATTAGCCGTGGTTTCCGTCCTTCTGTTCCTCACCAGTTCTTTACCTGGTTATTTGATCAGGGTTTGTCTATGTCCACTGTTTATAGTTGTTGGGTTGCCCTGTCCAACACTTTCAATTTCTCCTGTTTTTGTAAATTTTTCTTGTCCTTTATTATTTTCCTCCATTTTCATTCTTTTCATCTTGTTCATTCACCCCTTCCCTTTGTGCTTCCAGACTGGGATCTCAGTATGGTTCTGCATGATCTGGCTTGTTCTCCCTTTGAACCCATTGCAATGTGTTCTTTGTACCATCTTTCTCTTAAGACCTATTTCCGTCTCCTCCTAGTTTGTGATCATTGTTGTTCTAATATTTATGCTATTGATACTTTCTACACCCTTTACCATTCTTCTTATTTCTCCTTTGTCCCGAGCATTCCTTCCTTCCCAAGAAATCCATTGCATGTGAAGGTTGTTTCGCCTTCTCTCCCATTTCCTTGCCTTCCATTTCCCATTTATAGTCCCATTCAGCTCTGGATCATCTTCTTTGTCCAGCTCATTCCCTTCATTGTTATATGTCTTGTACTAACTCCTATCTTGGTTCCCCTTCTTGCTTCTTTATTTTGTGGAATCCCTGCCTTTCCCATGATTTTTCTCCTATTATTTTTACTGGATGTTTTCTGCCTGGTTAGACTGCAATTGTTACACTCAATTTATTAAGTTCAAAATGTGAAATGAAAAATACTATGCAAGGCACTTCCACTGGATGTTTTCTGCCTGGATGGACTGCACTTGTTGATCTCTCAATTTATTAAGTTCAAAATGTGAAATGAAAAATACTATGCAAGGCACTTCCACTGGATGTTTTCTGCCTGGATGGACTGCACTTGACATAACCTATTTGTATACCAAGGTGCTTCTCCCGGATGTTTTGCCTGTGCTGACCACACTTGGTTGTCTTGATTTTAATCCAAGGTACTTCCCCTGGATGTTTTTTGCCTGGGCAGACCACACTTGCTGATCTTATAAGCTTATGCAAAGCACTATCTTGTTGTTTTTGTCCTTGGACTGCACTTGGAATAATACATCGTATCCCAAGGTGATTCATATATGGTTCTCAGTAGTGCTATACCCCATGTGCCTCCTATTTTACTTGCAGAACACTTATTTTTTCATAGCAGTTATTTTTCACTTGTTTGATTGTTTTTACACCTTTCCAATGTGGGATTCTAGATTTGGGTGAGAGGAAGTAGTACTGTTTCAGAAGTTTACATTTTCTAACACTGAAAATGTATTTTATCTCCTCTCACCCACTTCCCCACTGATTTGCCAGTTTTTCTGGCTTGTATATGCCAATTCTCGAAAGTGAGGATTGTGCTGCAATGGTAGAGGGAGCTATCTGCATTAGTATAGATGGTGCAGTATGATTTATGAAGGATAGTCACATGATCAACACATATTGCTGCAATGATGCAAAAATAGAGAGGTATAAAAGACTGGTGTGCTGTTCAAAATTTTAGCAATGCTTAGAGGGCAAATCAAGGTTGAGATATTTTTGGGTGAGAGGGGTAAGTACCTATCGGAAATACATTTTCAGTGTTAGAAAATGTTAACTTAAAAAAAAACAAGTGAAACTTTACTTAATTTTGTTAAATATAAAAAATAAAAAGTTGTTTGTAGTATTCACTTTTTATTGCTATGGTCATATTTTCAGTATTTAAAATTTAAAGGTAACTTAATAGAAACTAGTCAATTTCTATACATAAAGATTTAAAATTAATAATCACAATTTTAAAATTTGATTTATAGGAAATTCATCAAGCATGTGAAGATGATGCAATCTCTGACTCATTTTCCAAACCATCAACTGGTTCTGTAGATGAAGTTGTACCATGTGAAGAAAAGCAAACACAACAAGAATTACAACAGGTAGACAAAAAACAAGAAAATATGGACTATACAGTAACGATGGGAAAAGAAAATTTTGAAGATGAGAATAATAGTCCTTTAAAGCTAACTTGTTACAAAAAATTACCAAATAATATACCTGAAAAATCAACAATTAAAGAAAATGAAAAAGAAAGAGAAAAAAATGAAGATGACAATGAAATTAATGTGGACAATCAAAAGCTACAAAGTAAAAGCACTGAAATAAAAACATCGATGAAAAATGAAGGAAAAACAGAAGAAAAGGCAGATCATGAAGAAACATTAGTAAAGAAAGAAATTATGGAAACATCTCAATTAAAAGATCAATCTCAAGGCTTACAAGAACCTGTATTGATCTCAAATCATAAAGAAACATTGTCTGAAACATCTGAAAAGCCCCCATTACCATCTACTATTAGTGATCCATACCCTGACAACAAACCTGAAGAGGTTCCACCTCCCCCCAAAAAAGGTAAATCTATACCTGTGCTTATTTTGTGATAACATACTGATCATATTTCAGCAACAAAATATAACAAAAATGTGAACCTTTTAAAGATAACTATTTAATTGTCTCATTTGTAAACAAGTAATCATAAACATTTGTACTTAACTTTTATTATAGAATAGTTTTTAAACGTTTAGAAGCATAAAATGATAACACTTAGAGTCATTTGACTTTATTCTCAAATTGTCATAGCAACTTTACTAAAACTTAAAAAATTATATAATATAGAAAAATATATATACATTAACAAGTGCAATTTATTTTTTTATTTTAGTTGAGTTTTTCACTAATTGAATCATCTATAAAATTACTTAAACATTAGTTGACAGTACTGGTGAAACAAACTTTTTTTAACCAAATCAAATTAAACGTTTTGGCTATAGTGAATGTGACACAGCTATAAAGTCCTTTTTTATGTGTATGGATAATATATTTCCATCTGTGTTTGCTTCATTGTTTAGACTGTTTAAGTGTACAGGTAACTCATTTTTATGAACTACATGATTTTTTTTATTAATATTATCAGAGCAAATAATGTTGAATTAACAGTTAATTGCCCAGATGTTCACTTGGACATTTGCCCTGGATGCTACCAATTTCCACAATTCCTGTTAGGTGGTGAGTGCCTGGGGGAGTTGATAAAATCTTGGCCTTGAAAATGTGTGTATATAAAGGATAGCGAAGGAGCTGTTTGGGTTTATCTGCCTGATTAAGGCTGGGATGTCCATGCTTGTTAATTTCTTGAAATTAGTACAACACACTTCTTCACACACACAGCCAGATTATGATATTTGTTTGAAAGTATGTACAGTAGCTGGAAGAATAGAGTTTTATACTTGTGGCAGCAGAATTAGCATTATTTGTACATGAAAATATTGTGATCATAACCAGTTATTGAATTAATGTTAAAATAATGAATATTTTTACCTTATTTTGCTTATATCACTATTTCATCTTGTTATTGTTACGGAATTATTTTAGTACAAAGGAAAATTTTGTTATTAGGTTGCTTTAAAACATCTACCATTTTAACAAAAAGTCAATATAGTATTGTATTTATTTAATTGAATTATAATGAGCTAGCTTAAAAGAAATCTAGAATTTATTAACAGTTAGTTTCAAATTAATCATGTGTGCTTTAAGCTCTGGCTGAATTATGGTTTAGTAATTTTATTTTACTGCTGTCAGGTAAAACACTGAACTGTCTAAACTGGAAGAAAACTGCTGAATATAACTAATTTTACTGAATATCATGTAATAACTAAGTTCAAGGTTGACTCCTTTAACACTGTTTGTGATATTGGAATCAAAACTCAGCTGGCAGCTCATAAAGATTGGAAGACTGTATTTAAAGTATTTCATATTCACTCTGGTTTATTGCACCAATCCACTAACTTCAGTTATAACTAATGTATCAAGTTAGGTTAGATGAGGTAGTTATATTATCAAATATTCTAGTTACAGTTTTTGAGTTGCAATAGACAATTTAAAAGGAATATGAAAAAAAAAACATCTACAGGTACCATGATTTTTATAACAAATATTCTAGTTATTTACTGGCAGTTTTATCTTTTTACAATTTTTGAATGTTTGATGTTATTATATAATATGTAAATGTAAAAAAAAGGAGTCTAGCATTGCCTAGGCATTGGGGGGGGGAGGCTCCTTTTCTATGGAGGATGTCCAATCTCTCAATCACGAGAGGTGGAGTCTAACATGAGGTTTCATGTTTCTTCTCCTGTAGGCTGAGAGGTTGAGCTTGTGGTGGGGGTAAACTGGTGATAATTTGGACTATATTTTTCCGGCTTCTTCCATTGCTCAAATAGCTAATCATGAGCCTTGGATGGACATCACTTGAATAATTTCTTATAACTAGTGTATCAAGTTTTTATGTCTTAATATTTCTCTTATGGCTTACGACTCTTCTCCTTCTTTGTAGGGAGAAAGTCATTTGTCTTTCCACCTTTGCCAGACATTACTGTGCATGCTCGGAGACAGGACTTTTGTCTTAACCTCACTTAATTTTCCAGGAATCGACTATCCATTACAACAGCTTTGCATTTTTCTATCTTCTTTGCAACTGTTGTCTTAAGCCTTTCACTGGTCTCCTGCTCAATTTTAGTCATTTATTGACTTCTACTTTGGTACAGTTATCAGTTTCTACTCTTTCCTTGGTCTTTTGGTTGGTTTGTTGCTGGGATCCTTTGGAGAGAGATGCCTTTCTTGAGGGCATTTGACTTCCTTCTTCGTTCATTAGAGGTCTTGTAGAAGCTTCCTATCTCAGACACTTGATTTTTGCAGGTATTCCAGATTCCATGGAATCTCAGGTGGATGTGGCCCATTACCACTTTTTTTTAGACACTGGCCTTCCACCTTTCCCAGTCATCTAACTGACAGTTTACTCCATCTCCTATTCCAGTTTCCAGACCTCCCAAAATAGCTCCATGTTCTATTAGAACACAAGGACGATTCCACTCTTGTCAGCAGGCATCCTATGCTTATGTGGAGAACCAATAATGGCATAGGTGACTACCCTATGGGGTTTGGTCCTGTTGGGGCTTGACTCAAACAGTTTAGGTCCATATGAGAGACTTGCACCTCTGATCAGTGGGTCATTCAGATTCTTACTAGAGGGTTGGCCCTTCATTTCATGCCACCTTTTCCATAGTCTACTATAATAATTGTCTTTCCCCTCCCCAAGGATTGTCTTATATTCAGTTGTCGAGTACAAGCCATCCAGGATCTTATGTTCATAGAGGCTGTAGAGTGTGTCAACTACTCTCTTGAGGGTTTTTATTCCCACTTGTTTGTATTAATGAAGAAGATGTGCAATTGGCAACTTGTCATCAAATTTTCTCATCTCAGTCCTTTCCTCCAGCCTTCTCTGTTTACTATGAAGTAATTTTTTCCTCTCAGGTGGCACTTTGCACACAGTCTATGGATGGTGAAGTTTGATATTGCCAATGCCTACCTTCATATTTTGATTGCAAAGTCTTCATGTTTTGTGCATGAGAGACAGGTTTTTCAGTTTCGTGCTCTACCATTCCGCCTCACATCCATCCCATATGTCTTTTGCCATATAGTCAGATCCTTTTCAAGTCATCTTCAGTCAATGAGCATTCACACTCAATATTATATGAACAACTGGATTTTTCTTGCTCCTTCCTGACACTTAGCAGAGCTTCACACTCGAGCTCTTTTATTTAAAGCTGCAAGAGCTGGGTTTTTCATCCAAACAGAGAAGTCTATTCTTACTCCTACACAGTACCTTATCCATTTAGGGGTATTTTTAAATTCATGTCTCAGTCAAGCCTAACTTTCTCCTCTATGGAATGAGCCATTCTTCTAATATTGTTGTCTCCTTTTCCACTGGTGTGTGCAGTTTGTTCTCTTTTGGGGATGTTGGCATCCTTGGAACCACTCATTCCTTGTGGTTGGACCCATATGCATTCCTTTCAGTGGCTGTTACAGGACTATTGGAACATTTGCAAAGATGTACTGGATTGTCCAGTGACCCTATTGGCTTCCAGTCCACTTGATCTTGGCTGATGGTTGTACAGGGACAACATGACAGTAGATCTCTCTCTCCCACCCCCATTTCCTGAGATACATCTTTTCACGGATAGTTCTCTCCAGGGATGAGGAGCTTGTGTAGGGGATATGAAATTCAAGGCCTCTGGAGAGAAGAGGAATCTTCTCTCCACATCAATCTTTTAGAGCTTCTAGCAGTTCTATGAGCTATGTCTTGGACTCTTGCATTGTTGTGAGGGAAGGTGGTAATGCTTCACTCAGACAATTCCACGGTGGTCTCCTAAATTTCCAAGCAAGGGACACTCACTCCGGGTCTCTCGATTTTCAGACATTGTATCTTCTCTTTTGGGCCCACAATCCTTAGATTGTTCTCCTTGTTTGTCATGTTCCAAGTTATGAACTTAGTGCCCGATCAGTTCTCTCATCCCAACGGAGTTATTCCCACAGAATGAATGCTTCATCCACAAGTTTTTGTTGGATCTGCTCTTGTTTCAGGATACTTCAGTTCGTTACTTTCACCACTCACTGGAATACCCAGCTCCCATTCTTCTGGTCTCCTGTCCTTAAACCCTCTGGCTTTTGGCATAGATGCTCTCAGCCAGGAGGGGACAGGTCTTCATTTGAGATTCATGTTCACAGGATTCTTTACCATTCCACTTATGTTTTGTTGTATCCCAATGGGTCTTTTCTTTCCAAAACTTCAGTGCCTAAAGAAGGGTATAAAACTTTCTCTCCTATTCATCTATCCTCCATTTCCCATTTTATGAACGCTTGGATCCGGATCGTCTTTTATGCCCAGTTCGGGCTCTTCAGTGTTCTGTTACGGGTACTGAAGGGTTTTGGGGTTCATGTCACCATTTGTTTATCCATTGGGATCCTAAGGTGTCATGTGACTTTTCCTCTGTCACTTTGACAGGTTGGGTTCATCAGTTGGTGCATATTTCCTACTCTGGGCTTTCATTGGAGGGATGGAGACTTCTTCGGGTCTCATCTTGTCAAATTCACTGTATTTTAATGTCCGTGGTGGCTCGGTTGCTTTGCCTTCCAGAGAAGATTGTAGAGGTTGGTATATGGACCACAACTAATACATTTATGTTATTTACATGATTTGGCAGTTGCCTCCTTGGAAGATTTTCAGCTACCCCCCATGGCTATTCTCCATGCCCTGGCTCATTTGTAACAGAGGTGAGTGACTTCATTTCTATTGTGTTTTCTTTTTCAGGGACTCTCATCATTTTCATTGGGATACCATTCTGTGGCAGGTGTTGCCTTGTCAGGTATGCTTATTTCCAAATCTGCACTAGCTACCAGTCAACCAGTCAATAATTTTTCTGGTAGCAACACGTTTGTTGAGATGGGGTGTTCCATAAGACCATCTTGTGCACTTTCTTGGTGGTACACAATTATAACACAAGAACAAATACACTACTGAACCACCACTTGAGGATTATCATGAGTAAAGCTTAAGGGGATTTTGACCATTCCTGCTGATCCATAGTTTGAATAAATCAGAGTCTTTTTCTTTTCAAAATAAGGAACGTGATTCACCTATTGCACTATCTCTGGAGAATTGTTTCTCGGGACTTCCCAACGTGAGTACCTCCCTTCCCAAGTTCTCACCTAGTGGAACATAGGAGTCCTTACCACTCCTAGTTTCCAGTCACTGGAGTGGTGGTTGGAGGTTTGTTATTCCTGAGTGATGCTTGTACTCATTATTCCACTCAAGGAGAAGAGGGTGAAGCTGGGTGCACTCCTACCAATAACCCTGGATGATTTTCCCATATGTATGGTAGAAGCAAAACCAGCCTATGTGTGAACCTCCTTGTAATTCTGGTTTAGAGACGATTCTTTGCTATCCAGTTGGGTTGTGCATGGCCCTTCTTTTGGGTCATTCTCTTTATTTTGATGATCATGCAAGAGGATCCTCAACTATTTGTAATTCTGCATACGGAACATCACATCCAGTGCCATTGGTTGGACTTCATTTGTTCCACATTTTCCTTGTAATTTCGAGAGCAGGAGGTATTGCCTTGCCTCTCAGGTTGAGGAGTTAGGATTTTGTATCATAATCCAAGATCAGGCAATCTCTCTTTGTATTAGGTTGAGTGAGACGTGACAGATCCTGTAATTCTAAGTTTGATTTGTTGCAAATTGCACTTCTTCATGAAGAAGAGAGGATTTGTCCACTTTGGTGTTGCTTGTCTACTCTTCATAATTACAGTAGCTCGACATACAACATTCTGTAACTTTCAGGTTGGGTTCCAATAATATCACATTACTAAACCAAACCAAAATATACAGTGCTCCACATGGCCTAGGCACTACATCTTGGATCTCATTTTGGGTCCACAGCCCTATAATTAATTCCAAGGACAAGACATGGGACCTCATCTGCCTGGTTGGGGCCTGGACTAATTCATGTTCTTCTAAAGAGGTTAGGTTTTTGCTTCTATGGTTGGTTGGCCTTTACTGCTCAAAAATTGGATTTAATGTTGTCCAGGCAAAGAGCATACCTGTTCCAGAAGTAGGTGGGCCCCACTGTTGTGCTATTACTATATTTCATTTTTGCAAACCTTTTTTCTATGCAGATGCTTTCTGTGTGGAGCTTGTCCTTACCGGACCCTTCACCATGTTAATGTGGGATTCTAGCTAAAGTTAGTAAGTGTGTTTCAGAAGTTAACATTTTCTTATACCAAAAATGCATTTCTGATAATACTTACCTCCTCTCTCCCACCCTTCCTCCCCACAAAATGACTGGTTCTTGGTCTGTTAATTTGGAAGTAATAACGAGGAGCGTATATATGGATCTGATATAGGGGCGTATTGACGTAGGTGGAGAGAATCACAAGATTTATATCGCTATGTCCAATATAGTGGGGTGTAAAAGTTGGAGCAAGCAAGATAAGATTCGTGACAATGCTTGGATGGGCAGAGAAGAGAAACTTTTATTGGGAAAAAGTTAAAGTGTGAGTGGAGGTAAGTATTATCAAAAATATCATTTCAGTATACGAAAATGTTAACTTACTGGATTTAACACCCATCCTATTCCCTTTTCAAATTGTGAGCTTGTTCTACTTTTCTCTAATTAACTTGGCTTGCTTTTAGCTGTCATTTAATGACTGTCCACCAGGTTGAGTGAAATAGCATTTGTTTTTGTTTCTTGTGTAGGGAAGCATGTTATATTAACACAGTAATAAATTAACAAACTAAAATTTTTAAGCAAAATATTTACTGTAGAAAATAAAAGATACTAAATGTTTTGATAGTACCTTGGTCTTTCTTCAGGTATAATAAGAAATAAAGCTACAAAGTTTATATACTTATGTTACAAGGAAATACAAGATTTATAGATCAAAGAAATGCTGTCACATTAAAGTGTTAAAATTTTACAAGTGAGGTTTATAAGTGAAGTCAAGCATTGGAAAGAAATACTAAGTGTATAAACTTAGCCAAGGTTTGCTGATGTTACCAAGACCACTGTCAGAGTTTAAGAATAAAATCACCTGCTTTTATAATTTTTGAACAGTCACATTATTTTACTTTTTAATTTTTGAGCTAATGTAGGACAGAAATTTTGTTCCAAGGTTCAAAATTCATATTTAATTCTTCACATAGAATAAGTATCTTAGAACCTGATTTAAAACAAGTTTGTTTTTGGATTTCGTGCAAAGCTACACGAGGGCTAGTTGAGCTAGCCATCCCTAATTTAGCAGTGAAAGACTAGAGAGAATGCGGCTAGTCATCACCACCCACTGCCACCTTTTGAGCTACTCTTTTACCAACAAATAGTGTGATTAACCATCACATTATAATACCCCCACGGCTGAAAGGTAGAACATGTTTGGTGGGATGGGGATTCAAACCTGCGATCCTTAGATTGCGAGTCAAGCGCCATAACCACCTGGCCATGCCGAGCTTTAAAGCAAGTACTACAAAAGGACAAATTTATAATCTAATCTGACTGTGGTAAAAAAAAAAATTGGACAAACATCTCGTTCTTTGGAAATGAAATGCTAAGAACACCAACATCACATGTGTAGAAGAGAATATGAAAAAATCTGCCCCAACGTGTCATCAATTCAAATCTGGTCATAAGATATTATGGAACAAAATTTCTCTCCTACATCAACTCTAAAATACAAATAATGTGGTTATTTAGAACATATTGAAATTATAAAAGCAGGTGATTTAGCATTAAACTTTAAGAGTGGAAACATTAGCAATCTTGGCTGAATATATTTTCTTAATGTTTCCTTCTCTCTCTTATATAAAATTCTAATACTCTCACCTGACAGTGTGCCTTTAATCTGTAAACCCTATATTACCAATCATCAATTGCATGTTAATTTTTTTTGTCATACCTAATGTAGACAGACTAAGGTACTGTTGAAACATGTTATGTTTTTACAATAAATATAATTACACTTACAAATCACTCTTTGTTAATTGTCTGCAGATTGCTCTATTTATGGTTAAAATTAGTTTTTCTAGACATTCCATAAGAGTAATGTATATTTGGGTGAGATTTATAAATGAGATTAGTTTATGCTAATTTTATTAAAAAGGATTTATCCTAGCCTTCAGAGTTTTGGAATAAGATTAATGAATGTTAAACATTTATCATAAGGCAGTTGATCACTAACATTGTGTAAAAAAACAATTTCAGTGAAGCGAGGTCCTGGCCGCCCTCGAAAATATCCTCTTCCTCAACCTAAACCTGAATCAAAAACAGATACTGAACAAAAGATAAGCCAAGTAAAACATGAAGCCTCCAAACTATTGGATGGGAAGGAAAAGCGAATAATTAAACAAGAACCAGATGAAGATGGAAAAAGTGCATTATCTTCTCAAGATATGGATATGAAGGAGGAATTGCCAATTGAAGAACTTCTCTCAGATACTAAATCCAAAGCACCATCATCTGTCAGTGATTCTGTTCCAAATAGTCCCTCTTCTACATCACAAGGGTAGGGGTGTTTTATCCTTCATTTCTGTGTCTAAACGTTATTTGTAACTTCATGCTAATAATTCTTTGTCCTCCATTTGTTCATATTTTGTCATGTCACGTACAGGCTTTGGTGGAGAAAACATATCAAATAGGCAATGTTTCGACTACTGTAACCATCAAGTTAAAAGTCTCAGTCACAAAACATTTCCAAAATTCTTATGAAACAATTGTACAGAGAGTAATGAAATACACTGATATACATGACCTTTTTATATCTGAAGAAGTTTATATAAAACAAAAGGGTAATTTATATGACTGAGAATAGATAGAAACTTCAGCATTTTACTAATGCAATATTAGAGTAAAAATATTTTATCAGATGCTCATAGTCATTCATAATATATGTTAGAGACACATGTACATGTGTTTTTATATATTTCTGTTAATCTAGTACTTCTGTATAAACTGGTTTCTTCAACAGATTTAATAGAACCTGTAAATAATAAGATATTTGAGCATAAAATGTAGTACATAATTAAACTAAATACTTGTGCTTCTGACAGAGTTATGAGAAAAAAAAAGGAAACAGTGAACAACACAATAAAAACAATCTTTATTTAACACACAAAACAATCCAAACTAATAAGTATGTCAGATGAAGGACAGCACTTTTACCTGAGATTAAAAGCCCTCCAAAGAATCTGCAAATCTCTATGTAAAATCTGTAGAAGTCTGTTCCAGACTGAAATAAAAAACATATATACTCAGTTATACAATACTATCATTTTCAGAATGCTTGCACTAACTGCATCACTGTTGATTCTGATCAAAGAGTTAGCACACAGGACAAAAGTGCAATGAATTACAAAAAAAGACCCAAAATTTGAATTCTTTCGAATAGTCAACTACATCATTGTTGATCATTCCAGTTGGAAAATAATAGATGAGATAATACAGAAGCATCACCTGTTTTGCCATTGTAAAATATCAATGTCTACTTTTACACAATATGTTCTACTGAACATAATCTTTCACATGATAAAATATACATGATATAGAATAATGCTGTCAGAACAATAGGTAACTGGGGTGAAAGGAATTTAGTAATATTCCTTTAGCAGTGTTTATTGTTAAATCTACATAAACATGTATATATGAAAATTTTGAAAAACTTAGGTGAACTTCAAGAGTTCACTTTACTAAATAAAGGAGGCAAAAAACACTTAGTATGTCCAAGTATCACATATTTGTTCTCTTCTTTGTCCTCAGGCCATCACTGGCCATCTCTAATTTTAAAATTTGAAATTCAGTGAAATAAACTTACATATTACTTAAAAAAACTGGTGCAACTTATTCTCATCCATGTAAAATACTTACACAACAAGAAATACAAGTAAAATGTAACATAACCTTGTATAAAAGATCATAAATTAAGATCAATATTACTACACAGAATCAAATTAAATACAGTACAGTACAATGGCCTTTTGTATACAAGCAATAATAATATAAAATAATCCCCCATAAAAAAAATTTGAAATGCAAAACAGAATAAATCTTTCTAAAATTGGATTAAGATGTCAAAATGCATTGTTTAAGATTAGAAGCACAAAATATAACAAACACTTAATGTCAAATCTAGAATACAAAATGGGACCCTTTAATTTCAAATCAGAATAAAACACACAATAAACCTTCAAACTGTTTGCCCTTGTGAAACATTTATATTATATTATTATTTATTTTACCTAATCTAACCTTACCTACCCTAAAGAGATCCTTATTTTTACATTTTAGTTATTTTTGTAATAATAAATAAAGGATAAACATGAAAAACAAGAAATAAAGTACTTACCCAAATCTTCTTTTTCTGTTGATTGCCAATGACACTTAACCCTACTTTTCTTATACTAATGATAGTAAAGAGCTAAATAATTTTTATTTAATTAAATAATGCACCAAAGAACATAGAATAACATGAAAAAAGTTTTCTGGCTTTCTAATTATGCAACGTTACAAATTCATCCAAGCTAGTCATTATCTTTCCCATGGGAATGAAGCTTGTACTAAAAGGGAAATTGACAATTCTCTGTTCAGAAAACAATGTTATATAAAATCTCATTTGATAGATGAAAACCTTGGCTTTATATTGGTTATAGATAATATAGAATTAAACGTAAGAGAGAACTATTAACAAATTGTGAAAGGTCTGATTTTCTATTTGATGGCTCTGTAACCAAACAAAATTGAAGGCTATGAAAATTATGTTTTATCTGAGTGATGACAATATTACAATAAGTAATTTATGTTATGTTTGTACTTATTGGAAGGGTGGTGGATAAAAATCACGAAGCTAAATCAGAGCCTGCAATCATTCTTACTGGAGTCGTGACAGCAGTTTACTTTCAGATGGCTGTGATCATATGGCAAATAATGCTTTTGGCAGGAACAGCTTTGATCTCAATCTTCAAGTTTTGAAGGTGGTTTCTCCCATTTGAACTGCTTATCTTTCTCTCACTTCTAGAAAGGCCAAACTTTGGATTACATAGACTTGGCAATGTCCTTTAAATATGACTAGTTGGGGTAGGGTGTACTGCTTGGTAACCTTAGTGTATGCTCTCATTGGGATCTCTAGCTTGGGTTCTTGTTGAAAGTACTGTGCCATGGACATTGAAGCTCCTTTGTTGATACCTACTGATGTTGTTGGATTGGATCTCAGCAGTCTGCATGATAGAGTGGACATTGAAGTTGACAAATTCAAACCCTCCTAGGCTTGAGAGATATCTGCTTGGATTTTAGCTCTTGGAAGGTTTTGTTTGACTTGTTGAGATGTAGTGATCCCATCAAAAGTGAAGTAAATTTAGTGCTGGCAGTGTTTTATTTGTAACAATGCACTCTCTGATAGGACACCTGACAGTCCTCTTTTGATGTTGGGTCATCTCCACTGGCTTTGATTTGATTGATGTCAACATCATCTTGGATGTGGATGTCTGAGACTTTGCTGTAGTTAAGCTGCATTCCATAGCCACTTCTGGTGTTGTCTTTATAACAGACACACTTAGTGGCTTGGCAGCCAACAGGTGGTTAGCTGGAGAAGTGGAGGCCTGGTGCTAGACCATTCATGGCTTTGGCTAGATTCTTATGTTTGATATCAGTGAGCTGTTTGTTCTCATCTTTCAGTTCTGTTTCTGTGAGACTGAACATCAGGTAAGCACTCAGGTTCTTGGGGATAGCTGGATATTCATTACCATCAACAAAAATTCACCAAAGAAAAACACCCTCAGTGTAATCTCTCTTCATTATTAGGCCATAAAAATGAGTGAGTCAAGCACACAGAAAGGAAATAGAATAAATGGGTCAGTTATGTGGACAAGATAACTAGAAGGGTTAAATTCTTAATTGTTTATCAGAAAAGTTGGGATTAGAAATGAATGATCAATTTAATTCTGATTGATCAGGAGTTCAGTATGAAGTGTAGGTTTTAAAGTTGTAATTGTTCTGCTACAACAAATTTCTGGCATAAAAGCTACTTTTAGTGAGTATGAAACTATTACTTTGGTGAGGTGAGATTTCTACAGGCTTACATGTACTCGCATATATATATATTGCATGTACACGGCGTATCCCTTGCACCTATAGACATTCCAGTTCGTAGTACATCTGTAAACTACATTAACATAATAAGAAATGCAGTTCAAATGTGTACTTTGTTTGTAGGAATATAGAATGTATTGTTACAGTTTCATTTCACATACAAACATGTTTCTCTTATTAATTAATAAGTTAAACTGTTTTGTATTTTATGACAATTTGTATTGGAGATTCTAAAACCCACCGTTTCATATGAATCAGAACAGAACAAATATCAGAAACAATAACTGCACTTCTGATAGTCATTTGTTTAATTAAACACGCTCATAATTTCATAGTCTTTTTGGTCAAAAAAATGTATTCAAGTACAAAATTGGAAATACACTGCAAATATTCATTTAGCACTAAAATAAAAAGAAAGAAATTGCACATGATTTTGGTTAGCTTTAACCACTTTAGAAGTTTGTTTTTTATTTCAAAAATCTTAACTGTTGTTTATTATTATGTTTTTGGATATACAAAGGTCAGATACAGGTACGTACAAAAGTTTGTTTTTCATTACTGACTTTAAATGTGCCCGAACAGTTATTTTGGGTAGTTTTATAGATGAAAACTGTTAACATTGATAGTACCCAACTGATGCATTTATGTAATTTAGTAATGCATTAGAATATGTATTTCTATTGTGTTTTTACATTATAGATCATAAAACTGAAGAAAAAATACAACCAGTTAATTATGTTCAATACGTAGATACACATGGGAAAACTTGCTTGAAATCTTCAAGAGTCAAACATTATCACTGTAGGTGTAATTCCAAACTCCTTGGTGGTAAATCAACTGAAATTTGAAAGTTTTCATAAAATATCCACTTGATTTTCTGGTATGTGGTTAAGCCACTAGTTTAAAACCTTTGTCTTTAAAACTCATTCACCGGTATTTAAATATCTCTGGATTTCTTAATGGTTATGTACTTGTGAAACATATTCATAAATTACTGATTGACCTTTACTGTTATACGTAGTTTAGTTATGCACGTTTAATAGGGAGTTCCCCTGCCATAGTTTGGTATGTTAAACAGTAATGAAAATATCATATTACATGTGATGCTGAAGTTAATTATTATATCACTCACTCTTTAACTACCATTAAGGTGAATTCCTTTTAATCTGGATTTCTGTAGGTACCAATATTTGTATTATATTCAAAACTATTATCAGTTAAGGTAGCATGTACCGTTTATATGTAAAATAATATCACAATTAATTGTTTGTATCTCTTGAATCCTTAAGTCCTTTACTTTCAGAGTTTTCCTTAGTTCAGACTAATTCTTCACATCCCATCAAAGTCTGGACCCATTTTCAGGAGCAATCAGTCACATTTGTAAAAGTTATCAGGAACATAAGACATTTCTTTTGTATTTCATTATTTCAATAATATAAAAATTAGCCACAGAGGTAATGTTACACAACATGTGGCAGGATATATCTTTGTATCTATTTGTGTGTGTAAAGTTGCCATGAGGTGGGCATTCAAATCTAAATAACAGCCATGATACTAGATTTGTGAGTTTTCTCTTCTTTTATGTTAATGTTTTTATAAAGTATGAGATTTTCATTTTCTATGTTCTTTAAAAGTTTGATTAGAAGGAAAAGGTATAGATTTGGTGTCTTGGAGTGTAAGAAATAAAGAATTTGTAAAGAACATTTTCCTTAAATCTTTTGTACTCTTCAGCTTCACATTTCAATCCCCTGTTACCAGTTATTATTTATTGCAATACAGGGAATTTTTATATGTTGTGCTACCCAGAAGAACATTATAACCTGAAGAATAGAATTTATGTTAAGCAAGTTAACATGTTTGCTGATTATGGTCTTAAATGCCAAAAGCCTGTGAAATATTGGAAAACCAATAGGCCTAAAAGTTGTTTAAAAACAAGTCAACTGCAGAGGTTTTCTTTTTCTATGTTTCTCTTAATTTGTCCATTGTGGCTCAAAATCAGAGGTGTGTAAAAATAGCAGGTAGATCTAAAAGGGTATTTTTGCACATCTCTGATATCGAATCACTATGGACAAGTTGAGAGAAATATGTTTGCAGGTGTAATATTACATATGTGCTTATGTCACACACTGCTATTCAAATTGTAGAATATCAGCCTTTTTACTTTATCTTTCTTTACACACATACATACAGTTGCTTATTAGGTTGTCACTGTTTGAAAAAAATAAATAAAGTGTAAATTTTTTTTCCAGAGAGGATGTTGAAAGCCAGCGAGACTACAAAGTTTGGAAGAAAGCTATTATGTTAGTGTGGCGTGCAGCAGCAAACCATAAGTACGTTTAAAATAATGTGTGTGTATATATTGTTTCATTTGTTGCTTTTTACACTTTATGTAAATGAGAGTTTATATTAGGGAAATATTCTGGTGCTCTTTGCCAAAATATTATTTGTGATAGTGCAAAAAGTTTTTCCTTTGATTAGTTGCACATAGGTTTGGTCTGTGGACTTGAAGACCAAAGAATGCATGTCTGAATTTCCACATGCATGAAGGTCTTTATAAAAAGAACTTAATTTAAAAGTGTTTGAATTAAATTGTAAATGATTTGATTAATTTTTAGAGAAGTTGATTTGCACAAATGATTGTTGTAACTGTGATATAGTCTGTTGTATTATGTTTTATGGAATCAGTTCGGTGCTACTTTCAAATTCATGATATAAAACTTTTTAAGTATAACTGATAAATCTGGTAGATGACCTATCTGTATAGTTTTGTCACATACTGTACGCTAAGTTTTCTTAAATACAAGTGTGTGTATGTTACAGAGAATGTTCATAAGAACAGAAGTATAATATTCTAAAATATAGAGTATATTAATTAACATTCTGCTGGCTGAGACACATTAAGGAGTCAATAATTTAACATAGATTTTTTTAGTGTCTCAGATTTTTGATATTTGTTATTATACAGTACTTTTTACCTAACAACAAAGTATTTTATCAAGTAAACATTCTATATAGTGGGAGTGAATGCAAAAATGATGGACCAGCCAGTAAGTTAAATAAAATCCATTTTCCTTAATGTTTATCTATGAATAGGGTTGAATGTATTATAAATGTAATTAACTCGCAGTTGTGAGAGGAAAGGTATGTAGAAAGTTGGTGCAGCTATAACAGTGAGAATGTTTTTTAGAGGTCTAACCATGGGTTGCAGAACTGTACAAATGCATACAGTATTTGTGACAAAAAATAGTAGCCAAAAGCCAAAGACTTCCCACAGAAATAAAATTTATGTCACCAAAAAAAAAAAAAAAGAACAAAAGAACATTCTCATGTGAACAAATGACAGATCTTGGCTAATAGTGCTACCTACTAGAAAGTGGGATGATCATTTCCTGTTTAATGTAAAACACGAGTTTTTAATATACTATTGCTCTTGGTGAAAAGAACATTTATTTAGCTTTATGTTGCTTATCCTCCCCTTTTAAAGTCAGGAGGAAATGTATTATATATATATATATACTAATTTAATTCTTTAAGAAAAAAGTTATATATATACTATATCTTTTAGTACAATGACATCATTTTTATTGGTATTATTATTTGCCTTTAGTAGAGAAACTTGTTAGCACAACATATTCAATTTGCAAATCTTCATCATCCATATGCAGTGCAGCAAACCAGAGATTTCTATAAAAGTTATTGTTCAATTTATCAATATATATGTGGGTTATATAATACATATTTTGAACATTAAGCTCAAATAAGGCTTGTATTTAATATTAATCCAAGTGTGTGTGTCTCCCATCCCCAAAAATAAAATTAGTTTAGTTTAAAGTGACGGCGGAAATTCTGTGTATTACAAAGTTGTATCGAGAAAGAATAAAGTAGTTTTATTTAAGAAAGGACTTGTATCGCTGAAGTTCCTCGGAAAGAATTTATACCGGAAATTAACAAATGAGCAGAGACGTAACAATATGTTTTGCTCTACCTCCTACATAGGGTAAAGAGATGGATTCAGTCTCCCACCAAGTGTTGTAACACTAGGCTACCCCCCACCCTCACCTTATGGGTGTCAAACTCAGTGTTTGTTCAGGAAGAAGCTCATATTTGTAATTTCTCTGCACCAACCCCTCCACCATTTTCAGTTTGGGATCCTAACTCTTTGTGGTACAGAGGATTGAGTAGCACTTCTGAATTTAACATTTTCCTGACCTGAATATGTATTTCAGATAGATACTCACCTCTCAACACCAAACTTCCTCCCAATGTCTGGTGCATTTAGTTTGCTTTTTCAGGAATAAATCTGTGTTCATGTATTAGTGCTCATGGGAATTATTGTACATGCAGGATGTGTCACTTTCCTATTGGTGGAGGTCTGTAATGTAATGATTATTACATTATAGGCTGGCACAATACACATTGGCACATGTAGTGTTGGGAGCTTTGTTTAAGGCTTGTGGCACGTGCAGGAAATTATCTGGAAGTGTATGTAAAGTAACAGTTCTTTGTGGTGCAGAGAGATGAATGTCTATCTGAGATACATTTTCAGCTAAGAAAAATTTTAACTTCTGAAAAATATGTAAAAATTAAAGAAAAGTTTCATCAGTAATATCTTATAATATGTACTCTCTTCTTTGTTTTTATTTTCTTTCATTTTCATATTACTTTAGAGTTAATTCGTGAATGTTGATGACTCATTCACATTTTACTTCGATAATGTACATTACTGTTCCTGGTTGTGGTGTAATGTTCTTATCTATTTTTCTTTAAGAACTAGTACCATAAAAGTATACCAATCATGGTGATTAGTTACAAGATGCAGTTAGTAGATACTCGCATGTTTATATACATATTGTTGTTGAAAGTAATCATGAGTTGGTTATACTAGTTATTCTCTATGATCCTAATTTCAGATACACATTTCACAATGGTTTTTATTAACTATATACTTACTTTTGACTGTTTGAGTCAATATTAATGATAGTTAATATTTCAGATATGCAAGTGTTTTTCTTCAGCCTGTCACAAATGAAGTAGCACCTGGTTACCACAGTATTGTATACAGGTGAGAGTTTGTTAGATTGATGTTATAGTCATGCACATCTTTATAAGATTGGTATTTTTCATGTACTGCAAATTAATTGACCAATTTCAAAAACAAGTTTAGTATTTTTGTAAGTAATTTACATGTTAAAGAGTTTTCAAAACATTAAGCTTTTTTGTTTTATTTGATTCTCCCAACAGGCCTTCTTTGGTACAGAAATTTAAACATAATTTCTTTTTCTTTCAACAGGTAGTTGCAATCCATTAAAGTTAATGTGTCTATTTTGTCCAAAGTTCCACAAAGTGATTAAGGTGCTTGATTTGCAATCTGAGGGTGGTGGGTTCAAATCCCTGTCAATGAATATACTCACCATCTCAGTCATGTGATGGGCAATCCCACTATTCTTGGTAAAAGAATAGCCCAAGAGTCGGCGGTGGATGGTGCCGACTATCTGCCTTCCCTCTAGTATATCACTGCTAAATTAGGGACGACTAGTGTAGATATCCCTCGTGTAGCTTTGTACAAAATTCAGAGCAAACCAAACCAAAGTTCCACTGAAGTGACACCTTGCAACAGAATTTTTAATTCTTGCTATTTTTAGATCACTGATGGTTGCATTACACTTTGACATATAAAACGTTTTATAATATTAAAAGATATTAGTATTATTTGTAATAGTTGAAATTTTACACTGTTTGAAAATTTTGAAAATTCAGTCATGGCAACTTTTGCAAAAAGATTGTTCTTACTTTGAATTTTATTTTGTGTAAGTTATTTATACTCAACTGTTTGACTTTCAGATAGTTTTGAAGTCAATTACACATAGTTATTCTAAGGCTAACAGTATATATCTATATATTTGTATATACTTAAACACTTTTTAAATTCACTTACACCTTAACAGTTATATTATTTTAAAATATCATCATGATAACAATAAAACTTATATAATTTTTATAACTTACTTACTCTTCACACCTTGATGCTATTTGTAAGTTGCATATTCTCTTCATTTCAATTTTTACACTCTTTATTTTACACTTTTACATTGTTCAAGCTATTTAATTACATTATAGGTCTAATAAGTATTTTTATAGTTTTTGAAACTAATTTTAGTAAATGAATTTTTTTGGTTTTTATAAACAGAATAATGCCAATACCCATTCATGTGACTAAATTCAATCATGTGATGTTATAACGTAATAACAGGAATAGAAATAATTTAATAAAAATGGGACAAATAAAGTTTCAAAGTTAGCACATACTGATGAGTTTCTAAACAAATACTTCAGTGTTGATCCTACTGGCCACTTGATGGTACGGAACTTGCATATAAAGAGTTTTATGTTTAGTTGACCTGAAAACAAAGTTATCTGTAACAGAGGTATAAAAATATTAATGTAGTTTGTATCATTGATGAGCAACTTAGGATTATAAAATTAATATAAAATTTAAAATAGTCAAGTAGAGTAATGTTATAATGAATAAGAAAATACTTGTGACTTATAGTTAAGTGTTTTCATGAAAATTTGTGTTGAAAATGTTAGCTTTGTAGGAATAATTGATAAAAGTGGCTCAGTTTTCTAAACACCCATCTGTTTGTATTTGTTTAGACCTATGGACCTTTCAGCTATAAAGAAGAACATAGAAAATGGTATCATCAAGACAACTTTGGAATTCCAGAGAGATATGATGCTGATGTTTCAGAATGCCATCATGTATAACAGTTCTGATCATGATGTCTTTGTAATGGCCATTGAAATGCAAAAGGAAGTCATGGAACACATACAGGTGCTCCATAGAATGTGTTTTAATACACAGTTTTTTATAATGTGTTTACCAATAAGAAACATTTAAGAGATAAAATAAGCCTTTGGTTCTCTCTCTCTTTTTCCTTTGTTTTTTCAATAGATTTAGTTTTGACATTAATTTTCAGAGCTAAATATTTTAACATAATCTGAAATACTTTATTGCTTTTTACTCACGATGTAGTTAATTCATGATTATCACTATGCAACATGTCACACACTCTTCTTTTTATATGCCGCTTGTCATTCATTTTATGGGCAATTGTTATTAAAGTAAAAGTAGCAGAAATGTTCCATAGATTGCTTGGAGTTGAACTGTTAATTGTAACATGTTTGTATTTGTTAAAAACTGCTTCAAGATTCTATTTTTACCTACTTTTACTGGCTGAACAGTTTCAAAAGCACTGTTCCAAATGTGAAGTATTTTAAAACATTTCAAATAAAATAAAATAAATCCAATCAATGTTGGAAGAATCATTAGTGAGAACTGTTGAAGAAAGAACATTATGTAAAAACTCTAAACATAGCTGATGAACACCTTCGTTTTCCAGAATTTTACTCCAGCACAGTTACATCTAATTATTCTAGGAATTGTAGAAAAGGTACAAGGACTGAAAAATGTATTTAAAAAACACAAAATATATCATTTTTCAAAATTCATTCTAGCACAACAGAAGACATAAATTGGTTAGTATATTCACATATCTTGGTTGTAATTTATTGGAATTTGCAAAATTTTCACTTTAACAGCAGTATCTAAAATTTGATACTATAAACTTTTTTTTCCATATTTTATGGACTCTTCATACAACTAAGGAAATATATATTAGTGAAAGATCTCACATATGTATATGATTTGAAATGAAGCAATTACTTTATGTGTGAAATAGTTTGATTTTGAGAATGATGATATATATATATCAAGCTTTATGTGTAAATTAAGAGAGACACTGCCAAGGAGAAAACATATTTTTAATTCTTTTATTTCATGCAAAACAAAATTTTCAATCGTACACTTACAATTACCTAAGATTAACAAAATGAACATATTTTTATCGTCTGTATTTTATTCCTGTGGAGTAACTGCAGGAATATTGTCTAGTGTTTTTTTATTCTTACCCCCTTGTGTCTAGTCACTCATCTAGCATTCATAACAATTAAAAAAAGCACATGATTCTACATACAACCAATGGCTGTCATGTAGAATTTTTTCTCTTTCTTTGTTGTTTTCATTAAAATGATTATAAATCATTATGAAAAATCCCCTAAGCAGTGTAAGTATGTAATATCTGTCTTCTTATTTCAACTTGAATTTAATTTCTTTGCTTTGTGTTTGTACTTTCCAATCAGCACGTAATCTCCTATAGCCAGAGACTATACCAGATAATGATTATGTAACATTATACTGTCAATGTCCACACTTCACAGTTATCTTGTAACCTGTTTTACTCAATGTCCATACTTCCCAGTAAGCATGTATCCATTATGTATTTTTTCTTAACACTGCTTAATATATATTTATAAGCTATTTCAGGTAGAACTTTCTCTGTCTTTTTTTGGGGGTAGATTTCAAGTTGATGAGATAAATGTTTTTTGCTCTTTCATTTGCTCTAGATTTTAAGAACATTGAACTCATTGGTGGCTGTAAAAGTAGTAACTTTTAGTTTTTTCAGTTTTTAGCTCATTTTAAGGTTGGGTCTTGTTTTTCAAAATATCAAATAACTAGTTTCATTACCTGTCAACTGTTACCATAACAGTCTAGTTAGTTGTGCAATAACTTTTAATTACTCCATGTTGAATCTGTTCTTCTACAGTAAGTAAGTTTTTGATATATGTTATAGTACTAAATAAGATTATCAAGTAGAATTACAATTGCTAACAAATAGCATTAATAATTTAAATCTAAAATGTATAATTACTTGTGAGAAAAACATTCAAGTGAGCTGATGTGATTTTCAATTTAATCAACAGGACTTTCTTGCTACACAACTAATGGTACAGACAGCAGACACTAAAGTGTTAAGAGGGAGGGAAAGGGAAACCAGGGAAAAAAAGTTAGAAAACAATGATAAGGTAAGTACCCAAGAAAAAACTTAAATACAGCCAATGTGTTTATTGAAATCCACTTATAAAATGTATTTACAATAAAAAGCATATGAGTAAGTCAGTAGTTTTTATAAATGTTTATAATTTACTTAATATATATAAGATATTATTAAGTTAACTATGTCAAGAGATAACTAAAAGCTTCAATTTTACATCTTCATTAATTCTCTGTATACAGGCTAGGTCATTTTGACCTAACTTTTAACCACCATGTTATTATGAAACTATACATATTTACTTTTAATGTAGTTAAGTGTATTTTTACAAATTTTGGCTTCTAGCAAACAAGTCTTATGCACACAAATCAGATTTTGTAATTAAATATTTTTACCACAGGTTTGTTTGTGAACTTATGGAGTCATAGTTTTACTAATCTGAGTGCAAGGTGATTTTCATGTTAAGATTAAAAATACGTTTTTTCATTTTACAGTTTTAAGATTTCATAACCCCAATAACCTTATGAATAAATATCAAAATTTTTTTTCAGTAAAACTTTACATTTTATCAATGATTTTCTCTACCCTAACACTATATGAGCTCGATTTTTTTCTGATGTTTTAATCACTTCTAAGCTACGTTTTGGAAAACATAAAAAAAAAACATCCATCCGATTCAATTGTCCTTTGCAGTCAAATACTAAACTAACAACAAAAACTCTCCCTTTTTCAGCCTTCATTTATCTTGCT